GGTAGTAATTTCTAGACGGGTTCTCCCTGGGGCTAGCATTCCCTGCGGCTAGTACTCCGTAGGATTAGTACTCCCTATGAACGGTAACACGAACACTACAGCACCACTACCACAATGCCAGTGCCACAACACCACAACACCGCTACCAATACCACAACACAGCTACCACAATACCACAGCCATAACCAACACCCAACTGACCACACTAACACCGAACTGGCCACACTAACAACCGGTCGCAGACGGGGCGGGCTTGCGCGTACTTCGAAAAAAAGAGGCGTGGCGTCCTGTTCGGTGACTTCCGGGGTCATTCTCAAGAACGTGGCCTTTCTCTTCTGGCAGAAAACGTCATGTAGCCCCCAGCCTCAAACGGGCACGCAATCGGGGGGAACCAGCCAGAGCATCAACGACAAAAGGATATCTGTTGCCAATGCGCGTGTGCGCAACCGAAGTGGAAGAACCAATATGAGGGAAGATATACCTACGATAATGACAAATATCTGCCGGGGTGTGTCTGCTAAGCGCACGGCCCATTTGTAAAAAAGACATTTGAACGCCCATAAACCCAAAGAAATTCGCATCGCGGTGATCGCGAATATTCACGTACGGATACGTGCAATTGTGGATGTAGATTGGAATATATATATATATATATATATATATGTATGTATGTATGTATATGTATATATATAACCAATCCGCGTAAAGCTCCAAATGCTGCGGATGTGGGAGGAGATAAGAGGTAGAACTTATTAAAAGAGGTGGGACGTAGGGGGAAGTCGGAGAAAACAGGAGGTGGTAGGAAGGCGCACGGGGAAGCAATAAAAGCGCTCGAACCGATTATTTGAATTTCCTCTGTGAAAATTGGTTCTTTTAAATATTTCATCGTATTTCTTCGTAGGTCCGGTGAGTGTCCGCCGGGTATGCAAAAAGGCGTACGAATTTGAATTTGCTGAGCGTGTTTTCCTGAAACGGGTACCGTTGTTTCTGAAACGAAAGTATTTTTTTCCTGAAAGGTCCCCGCTTTTTCTGAAACGGCGAACGCTTTTTCTGACACGGTTGTTGCGTTTTGTGAAACGGCATTTTTTCTGAAACTACTGTGTTTTTTTCTGAAACGGCAGTCGTCCGCCAAAGCGTCAGCTTCGCACATGGTTTCTGTTTGTTACCCTGCCCATTCTCATGTCATCGTTCTGTCGTCCCACCCCATGTGGCCGCTTTCGCATTCCTCTTTGCGCCTCCCGTGTCCACTTAACCTCTCATGGTTATTCAAGCATTCGCGTAGTACACGAATCCATAACCGAATGGTTTTTTTTGGCGGCACGTATGTATATATATATATATATATATATATATATATGTAACCAAAAACAAGTAAACTTCCGGACGAAATGCAACGTCAAGGAAAACGTGGCGGCAAATTAAGGAAAATTCACGGTTTACCTTGTCATATCGTTTTTTGCTTCGAATGTAATTCTTGGGTATACCCCGCATTTAGGCAAAGGACGACGTGCCATGGATCGTAATAACATGTTGCTTGAAAAAGGCGGGTAACCAATAAATGTAGTACGCATGGAAGAAGAATATCAATGTACCTAATTTTTACTTATTCGAAACGAATTGTAGTTTTTGTTTGATAGATACGGCAGCCGTTTTTTTATGAAACGTTTTTTTTTCTTCTTTTTTTTTTGTTTTTTTTTTTTTTTTTCTTCCTCCCAAGTCCTGCATTTTTTTAAGATGTAGTATTTTCTCTGAATAAATCCATAATTTTTGACGGCAATTGTTTTTGAACCGCAATATTCTCTGAACGAACGAACGAAACAGCCATACATCAAAAACGCGTGGGCCAAGAAAACTACAGTGACATGCCAAACGCGCGCCAACCTGGCCTGGACGCGGCAAGTGCGCGCCGAGCGGACAGAGGGAAGGAACAAAAAAAGAAGATGATGAACAATAATGGCGAAACGACGGTCGCCCGCAAGGATGACGTCTTAATTGATTTTGCGATGGTAATTGTGTTCAGCTGGGTGGTGCAGACGTACACGGGCATGTACGACTGTCTCACACCTTGGGGTCGCAGGGGAACGCCTGGTACTCAGGCATGATGATGATAATGGCGTGGCGGCACATTTGTTCGGAGCGGGAAGCGCTGTTCCAAGTGGGAGTTGGACACCGCGATCTCCCACTGCGTAATGAACTGGCCGTGGTCTGATTGCGGCGGCAGTACCGCTAGCACCCTCGGATGCTCAACGCTCGTGAGGCCTTGGCGGGGCCAATCACCACGAGCCACCCAGAAATTTCGTCGATGTGCTCAGTACTCGAACCTCACTGGCTCCTCCGGGGTCGGATCCACTGCCTCCTTGCCGTTCTGCCGCCCCCCCCCCGCTTCCCCCGCGCGCGGGGTCCCGGGTGGGGGAGCCGAGGGGTTCGCCGCGCTAGGTGGGAGCCGAGTGGGGGGCAGATGAGGAAGAAGGAGGAGGAAGGAGGAAGGAGGAGGAGGAAGGAGGAGGCAAGGAGGAGGAGGAGGAGGAGGAGGAAGCAAGTGAGGAATAACTGTGACCTCGAATGCAACCTCCTCCGGGGAAGCTGCACGCTGTTCCTCGGGCGAGAATCTCAGTCTGCGCCGGAGGCCTGCGCCAAAACGGCGGCGGACTGAGACCTCTCTACCAACCCGGACTTGCCTTCCCAAATCGCTTCCCCCTGGGCTGTGAAATCCGCAGCCGCGTTATTCTCCCCAGCAAAACAAGCGAGACCGAGAAAGAGGACGAAAAAGACGGAGACGACGGAGACGAAGAAGACGAGAACGAAGAGGACGACGACGACGAGGACGAAAACGAACAGGCCCAAGACGAATTCTACGACTATTGACATATCTGGGGGGTTCTGACATGGTCGGCGTGGTCTTTAAAAACGCTTGTTTTTTTCCAATATCTGAGTGGGATGTCGAATCCCAAAGCGGGCTTTCGCCAAACAGTGGGCAATTCGTGTGTTGTTCAAGATCACCATCGGGTTTTTTCGTTGTTTTCCCAATCATCCTGCGGTGCTGGGTGAGGTTTTCGTTTTCACTGGAATGTTTCGGTTTCCAGCTGTTTGGTTTCAACTCCGAGGTAATACATTTTAATGTTCGCTGCTGTACATTCCATTGTCGCGGTGCTTCCTTTCTTGATGCGTTGCATCGTAATCTTCTTCCACCTGGCCGTTTCAACTACTCATGGGCACCGTTTTTGATCATCCTTGGCGCTGTCCAAACAATACTTTATTTGAAAAACCCCACAATTCCCTGAAATCGTTTCGGAAATTTGAACTGGAACATTCCAGATTCCATTCCGTATGTTCAATAACTCTACTTGAGATTTCGAATCTTCCCGCAGACTGTTTCGGAGGCCCGTGCCTCGCGCACTACTGTATGGTAATCTTGTTTCGGCACGCCATAGTGAACATTTTCTAATTCGGCGTTCGTCATTGGGCGGAAAGGGGTGGGGGAGGGGGGGGGTCTGGCTCCGGATTTCTGCTTAGTGCGACTGTTTGCTGCAATGCGTCCTGTGGGGAGACTCCACCTGCTCGAAAGAGGCGCCCAATAACAGCCAAGATCTACTCCACGGGAGGGTGGGAAAGGGGGGTGCGAGGGCCAGCGCCGATCCGCAAAAGAATGAATAACCAAACGCTCACATCTGTTTTCGTGCAGCGGACGATCTGTAGGTCTAATCCTCCGCTCGGTTACCGTACGCTGGGGTGGCGCACCTTCTCCGCAGCAGCAGCAGCGCAACGCTTCGGCTTGTTGCCGCATGGTGCTTGCTTGCTTTTCGATTGGTTTCTTGGGGGGGCGTCTTGCATACAGTCGGGGCGTTGACCTAAGGAACCCTAAATAAGGAATGAACCCCTTCTTTCCACAAGTTAGCCTTCGATTTCCCGTCGAAAACAGAAGGAAAGCCTGAGGCAAGCTGTGAAACACTTGAGGAACGCGGAGCCCCTCCCCAACGAATAGGGTTCCTTCTTCGGGGCCCCGACTGTAAACCGCTGTGCGTGCGGGCCGCTCGCAACATCCCCCATTGTTAGGCGGTTGGGCGCGCCTGCTGTTCGCGCGGCGCGCGGGCCGCACGCAGCAGCGCAAGACGCGCTGCGGCTTTCGCAGGTGTCGTTGCTGGCGCCCACTGCGCCGGCGTCGGTCCGCGGGCCGCGGCGCCCCACTCTGCGGGCTGGATGGCCCCTCCCTGGTGGGCTGGGTGTCCATAGGCTTGCTCGCTCCCAGGAGAACGGATCCACGGAATGGCCAGACGTCCTCCTCACATCTGGACGTCCTTTCGGTGCTCGATTCTGTCCCAAGAGTCCCCCGGGACAATCCCAGGACGACCCCGGGGCGGCCAGGTCTCCCAAAACTGCCCAAGACATGCTCAAGACGGCCCAAGACCAGCCCCGCTGACTGCCCCAAGACCCCCCCGAGACAAGCACAAAACCCCCCGAATCCAAAAGCACCCCTGTACGGCAAAATCGTGACGTGACGACCCTGGGATTGGCTTCTGGCACCGGGTGGATCGTTTTACCATGAACGACCGGCTGCATTTCGATCGCCATAGTGGTCGATTCTGGGCCACTGGCGGCGTTCACCGCACCTTCGACGTGCATGGCGCTCTCTCTCTGTCTCTCTCTCTCTCTCTCTCTCTGGCGGCGTTCAACCTTGCACGCCCGTGGCGGGGACGCCGCCGCACTGGCACGACGCGAATCACAGACGTCTCGAAACAGCGTCTCCAAGAAGCCGCCGCGCTCCCTCCGATCCCCCCGACTTCACTACATCCCCCCCGCATTCCCCCGGATTCCCCGTGAAAACCGTGCAGCGCCCAAGGCCGTGTCGTGCTGCAGCACACCTGGAGGTCGGCAACAACGCTTCGACACGTTTATCCGGCGCCGCAGCGCCAGACCTCAGGTCCATCTCGGCAAAAGGGAACGGTGGAAGATGAGGCAGAGAGGGCGACTCTCACAACAGAACCAAAGTTCTCAGGCCTGGCTCAGGCAATCAGCACCAGCAACCCCATGAAGAGAATCATGAAGACCAACATGCCCGTGAACAACTGCTCACCACCTGCGTTCAACCCACCGCCTCCTCCGCGATAACCGCCCCTCCTGCCATTGTTGATTATGATAGCTGCAAATATCGGATTGCCCAAATGCTGCTCGAGAGCCACACCTGCTCCCGCATCCAAGAAGGAGGACGATGGCGGAGAGGCGTCGCCGAGGTTTTCTGCTAACTCTGTCGCGGCAGTTGAGAGCTCGGAGCTCCCAGGATCCAGGCTTGCGGCTTCGGCCAGGGTAGCTCGGTCCACGCTCATGGAGCCCAACTGCTGGATGAGCTTGCAACCGATGCTCGCCCTCTTCCCGGCACACTTCTTCTCGTCCATGAAGACGTGCTTGGCGAGGTAGTATACGTTGAGGTACGTCTGCTCACCGATGGTGAGCTCGTCGAGCGTCCAGGGCACCAGACCTCCCTCTGGCGGCGAGCCATCGCCGGCGAACCCTTTTATCAGGGGCACCTCCCACGAATAGCTTGCCTCTCGGCGCTGGACAAACCTCCCTTTAGTAAACCTCCCCTTAGTGAAAACGGCCTGGGACCGAAACCGATGGACCTGGACCCGCAAAAATGACGGCCGCGACGCCCTCACGCGAACCGAAAACAGCCAATTCACTAATCGACGTGTCAGGGTAGGAGGTCTGTCCAGCCCCGAGCCTCTGAGGCTTCGAAAGTGGGACTCGACGTGCCGTAGACGGTCTCCGTCTTGGCCTTGTGCGATCGGCCGAGCCCCTGCTCCTTCACGCGAACCTGTGGGCGTTGCTTCACGGGGGGCGATCGAATGGGGGGGGCCTCTTTTGGGCCCCGCCTTTCTTCACCCCCACATCCATCGCCCCCCTCCCCCCACTACTAGAGGCCTCCTAGGTGGGGTCGGAGAGGATAGGGTCGGAGAATCTCGCCACATCGCCGATGCATCGGCGATGCACTGGTGCATCGTCGGCGTCGGCGATGCATCGGCGACGTCGGCGTGGAGAACAGTGGGCCCCACATCGAGCCGCATCGGCGATGCATCGGCGATGCGGCGGGATCCTCCGACCCTGTCTACTCCGACCCCCATTCTGGGAGGCCTAGACTTTTGGTCTGCACCTCTCTTCGCCCCCACATCCATCGCCCCCCCCACTACTCGGCGGTGGACAAACCTCCCTTTCGTAAGCCTCCCTCTAGTGAAAACGGCCTGGGACCGAAGCCGACGGACCTGGACCCGCCGAAGCGACGGCCGCGACGCCCTCCCGCGAGCCGAAAACCCTTACTCGACGTGTCGGGGTAGGAGGCCTCTCGACCTGCGCATTGCGCAACGCCCGAGGCCTTGCAGTAGGGGTTGACGCCGCTCGCGAGGCCCGCGGCGGCGAGGCAGCGCACCCGGAGGTCGATGCGCTGGCACCGCAGACCGAAGGACTCCTGGCTGCAATGGATCGGCGGCGCGCCCCGGGGGGGAGGGCAGAGGGGGCGGGCCTTCTCAGAGAAGGCCTCCCGCCTTCTCAGTGTTTTGTTTTTTGGTTTGTGTTTTTTTTTTCCATTATATTTACATATATATATATATATATATATTATATTATAATATATATATATACATACATACACACATACAAACACACATATCTATATAAATATATATATATATATATATAATGTGTATACATAGATATGGGACTAGGGGGGGGGGGCACTTATCGTCCCCTAGGAGTTCCAGGGGACTTCCAAGGAACGACCTCCTCTGCGGTCTCCCTCTCGTCAACGATCGCAGGAAGAGCCCGGCCTTCTCAGAGGCCATCCGAGCCTTCCCTGACAACGCGCAGAGGCTCTCAGAGGGGGAGCTTCCGAGAAGCCCCTCCGCCTTCTGAGAAGACCAGCCCCCTGTGTACCTCCCCCTCGGCGCGCCGCCGAATTGAATGGCGAATCGCTTCGCGAAACTTTTACGCTTACCGAGACGGAGCCCTGAGCTGGCCTGCTGCCGCGATTCGGATTGTCGGTCAGCCGCAGCGCGGTCGTGGCATTAGCCAAGGGCAAACCTGCCTCCCCCAAGAACTCGTTGCCGAACATGCTCCTGGTGTCATGCCAGACCTCGATCATGATTGGCAGCGCTCCAGCTGGCAAGGGGAACACCTCAGGCGATAAACGGCCAACTGGGATCGTCTCTACCAAAGCCGTGACGGTGGGCAAATGCTTGAGAGCGCCTTCGAGGAACTCAAGCGTCCCCTTGGAGCCTCCTAGACGTCGCCCCCGCCAGAACTTCAGTATGGCGCTCGAGTCTGCTGTCAAGTAGTCAGAGAGGTATCGCTGAGTTTGGAGCAAGTCAACAATGACGGCCTTGGCGCGACGCTCCAACGTAGCGCTATCCTCCGTGACCTTCACAAAGGGCGCGCAGGAACACGAAGCGGATTCCCTGAACGTCGTGCACGTTGTTGCGCTGCAGTCCTCCCCGCCCGCCTCCTGCCGCGTGGAAATGCCACCCGCAATTCTTGCAGACTGCACGTGCGTACACGCCATAAGAGAAAGAAACAACATGGGGATCACTCCACGAGCTCGCGACGCCACTGAAGGCGATGGGCAAGTCAAGAAATGCATTTGGCCTACAACGAGAAATCCGGGAATCCGGGCTCACAGTACCGTCCGAGCTGAGAGGAGCCACGGAGCCTTGAGCCACACTACCTCCGTACAACATTGTAGAATCTGCGACGGGCTGCTAACATGACCAATGCTACACGGCGAACTCATCCGCCGACCCTGCGTTTCAAAGCGGGGCAAACGACTTGTGCTTTGACAACACGACCTGGGGCGTTTCGACACGATTGAATGTTCCCCGAAATCGGCCCGCCGCTTTCAAAACATCCACAATCCGCAAGACAACTCACGATGCCCCAAAGGGCCTCCAGAACCCCCCAAACTAACTGGAAGAGGAACGAAACCGCATCCAAGACACCCCCGACCCATCTGGATCCCCCTGGGACCCAACCTATCGGCGACCCCTTTAGGGTTGCCGCTGAATTATTTCCAACGCGCAATCGGAGTGACGCCCTTCCGCTCTGGCGAATGTGCCGTCAGACCGCCCACGTCGTGGCACTTCCAGGGACGCCCACGGCCCGTGCGGGCGGCAGACGCACCGTCGCTGGCGCGCGGGCCCTGGAGAGCACTTGTGATCACTTCGGGGATGGACAGAACCCCCTTTAGCAAAACGTGGTTTAGTGAAAACGACCTCGGGCCCAAATCTGGCGGGCGAAAGCCTGGAAACTGACGGCCACGGCGCCCTCTCGAGAACCGAAAACGGACAATTCACTAATCGACGTGTCACTATTGGGGGTTCTGTCCAGCCCCGATCACTTGTGGGCAGACCTGCCCGACTCAGTGCCTCAGTGACCTCTGGGAGACCCCCAAAAGAGGCCCCAGAGAAGCCCCTCAGAAACCTCGGCGCGTTCCAGCGAAGGCAACGGGAGGAGAAAGAGGAGGAATGAGGAAGGAGGGGCAGAGAACAGCGCAAGGAGGGTGTGTGCAAGACCCGCGCCATTCCAGACTCGGTGTTGATCTGAAGCGGGTATGACACTCAACCTCATCCCTGCTGCGTTGCTGCGCTGACGTGCCCCCAAACCCTCGCGCTGCATCAGCCAAACAGGCGAACACAGGGCAAGTGTAGAGGCATCAAAGCCTTGCCCTCCTGATGCAGGGGGGGCAGGCGGGAGAGTCAGGGGGGGAGGCAGGGGAGGAGAGCCTAATTACGCGGGGCACCCTTTCATGGGAGCCGCCCACGCCATCTTGCTGGCTCTTGCGAATCGACGCTGGTCGACGCCAATCGACGCTAAATCATCGCTTCCTTATCGATTCGCAGACGCCAGCGCGCGCTGATGCACTCGAAGGACGATGTCACGAGGACATACAGTCGGGGTTGATTGGAGAAGACACGCGGGAGGACACAAGATCCTTCCGAGGGCCACCTTGCCATACACTAGGAATGCAGAACGCATGGGTCGTGGAACACACGGCACGAAGGTACCCTTGATTTGTTTGGCAGGAACGGCCTACTAATCAGCCTCGACTGCACGCGGCTCCCATGATTTGCTACGGTCGGACCCAGGACGGAAGAGCATCCCCCAAGAACACAAGAGACCCTCCGCCGGCCAAGACACCCCAAACCATAGGATCTCTCGAGGGTGCCCTCCCCCAGGAAGACCAAGAACGTCCAACACACACGAAGAACATCAATAGAGGCCTCCTGGATGGGGTCCGGGTAGATGGGGCCGGAGGATCTCACCACATCGCCGATACATTGGCGATGCATCGCCAGTGCATCGCCAATGCATCGGCCCGACCGTGCCGAAGCACCCCGCGCCGAAGCCCGAGGCCGCCGGAGCGGCGGCCGAGGCGACGCAGAGCGTTGTCGAGGCGCGCCGCTCGTCGGCCCCGCGGGCTCGTCTGTGCGCGCGCTCCGCGCCCCGCGGAGGCTGCCCTCCAGGAACTCCCGCGCGGCGGCGGGGTTCTCGTAGAGCAGCATCTTCGGGCAGGCCTGCGCCCGCACCGGGTGGAGGAGGAGGAGGAGGAGGAGGAGGAGGAGGGGGAGGAGGAGGAGGAGGAGGAGGAGGAGGAGGAGGAGGAGGAGGAGGAGGGGGAGGAGGAGGAGGAGGAGGAGGAGGAAGGAGGAGGAGGAGGAGGAGGAGCAGGAGGAGGAGGAGGAGGAGCCACTCGCAGGTGGCCTGGATCCGTCGCGGCGGATGTGCGGTCGCACCGCGGGGGCTCGACCAGAGCAATGTTGTTTGTTGGTCTTCGATGTGTCTTCGCTTTCCCTCGTCTTGCCTTCCGACGCGCCGCCGCTGCAAAACGAAACCAAAAGCGAAAACGGCCCACGAAATCGCCCAAAATACCGTTCAGGTCGAGTCCTGCACGCCGCCGCCTCGCCCCCACCTTCGAGGCGGCGGCCTCGGATGGCCCGCGTCGGGCCCCAGGGCCGCCAACACACGGCAGCTCTGCCAGGGTCGCTCCTTCCTTTCCGTCCTCCTTCACCTCCCCTCCCCTGCCACATTCTCCTCCCCCTCCCTCTGTTCCCCTTTCTGCTCCTCCTCAGGGGAAAAGAGAATGACATGCGCCGCCAGGGGGCCCCAGCGCCGATCCGAGAAATCCGCGCGGACCTCTGAGTTTTTTACGTTTATGTCATTGCTCGTTCCCCTCCTCCTCCTCCTCCTCCTCCTCCTCCAAATGAGACGTAAGACTCGGAAACGGGGGACTCGGGTTGGCCTAACGGGGCCATTTTCAAATGGACGTCCCACGAAAGCTGGACCGTTAAAATCCAGGACGCGCTCGTCAAAAAACGTCGGCAAACCCGAGTTCTGGTTTACTCGAGTCGTAGGCTTCTCCGATCCTCCTCCCCCTGCCCCTCTTTCCTTCGGAATTTACACAAATAGTCAAAACATGGTAGGGAGGAGATTTTTTGAGTACTTTTGAACATTTTTGTTTTTTTGAGGGGGTATTTTCCATTTTTCGAAAACTGGACCGGGAGAGCGAGGGCGCAAGAGAGGTCCAAGGGGTCCGTGTCTCGGAACCGCCGAGTCGCTGGATGGCTGAAGGGAGAGGAAGAAGGAGAAAGAGAGAGAGCGAGTGAGTGAATGGTCAAGACACCGCCCAACGTGGGCACAACAACGACGTTGATCGCGACATGTCTGTAGGCTTCTCGCCCTTCTCTTTCTACCCGTCCTCCACCTCGTGGCTCGGTGGCAGGAAACTTCATCCTGGCGAGTGCTACACCGCCCCAGCGCGCCTCCTGCGTGGCGGCGAGTGCGGTTGGGCCCGACCGCTTCATAGCGGCAACAAGCAGTCCAGTGCAACGTCGGCTGTCAACAGAGAACAGAGGGGTCCGAGGCTTGATCGTTCGTTCGCTCGCTTTTCCACCTCCTCCTCCTCCTCCTCCTCCTCCTCCTCGTCGGCACCCGCAGCCTCTCTGACTCTCACGGGCCGCGGCGTCGGGAGGCCATCGCAGGTGCGCTGCGCGGGCGCGCTGCATGCCAGTCGCCTGGGGCGGTCAGTGCAGGCGTGCAGAACGCAGCGAAATCAGCGCATATGCTTGGCGGCGCGCAGAGGGGGGCGGGGGGAGGGGGGACGGCTTCTCAGAAGGAAGCTGCTTCTTACACGGCGCCGGTCTTACATCTACAGGCAAGGCCCGCGCCTTCGAAGAAGCAGGGGTGCTCTCCTAAGACACCCTCCCCCCTCCCCCCGCCCCACCTCTGCGCGTGGCTGATATGCTTCGGGGGTCCCGATCCGTGTGGTGGCGCGCCGCATGGTGACCTCGACAAGTCTCAGGAGACCTCAACGCACGCACCGCACCGCCCGTCACCACTGGGCCCCCCCCGAAAGACAAACCTCACCGCACCGCCCGTCACCACTGGGCCCCCCCCCCCCGGATGCCGGCGCCAGCCGGCCGAGGCGCGGCGGGCTCTTCGGTGGCAGAGGCGGCGCGGCTCAGGGCCGCCTTTCTGCGCTGCAGTCGCACGCCCAGAGGCGCCTCAGCGACGTCCTGGGTGGGCCTCGGCGACGCACTGCGGTCAACTCGGGCATGTCCCTCTGCAGGAGGAATATTCAGACATACGGGGACTTTTTTCGACAATTTTCAAATATTTCGGAGTATGTTTGACCATTTGGACTTTTCGTCCCAAATCCGCCTGTAGCAGGCCTTCCCCGACCCAACACTGGGGGGGGCATGCGCCCACTCTCGCCTGCACGTGCCAGCAGCGCCTGCGGGCTGCTGGGCCTGGCCAGCAGCCTGCAGGAGGGGCCTCGCGAGGCCCACGCGAAGGCGGGGGCGCGCTGCAGCCGCCAGGGGGCATGCCACGCGCGGGTGCCAGCTCCGTTGCCTCCGCCCCCTCCTTCCTGCGCTGCTGCGCACTGTCTCGTGCATGTATCGACGCGTCCACAACGTGAATTGCAGCGTAAGGTGAATCAGCAGACAAGGGCGGCCGCACCGCCGACGGCGACTGCTGAAACTCGAAGGGGGGCCCAGGGACCCGAAAAACAAAATCCGCATCGCGCTCCTGCCTCCTCCTCCTCCTCCTCCTCCTCCTCCTGCATCCCTTGCGGTGACGTTCCATGCCCCCCCCCCAGGCTAAGCCCTCTCCACCATAGGCGTGCGAAGGGTCGTTCTGAGGCATCGATGGGCGCCAGCTGGGCGGGAATAGTACCAGACAGGTGGGTCGGAGGTGGAGGGGGGGCTACCCGGCGAAAGATTACGCCGACTTGGAGAGCAAAGCCTGTGTGACTGCGGTGCTCCGACTCCTCCTGCCGCCGCCGCCGCGCTACGCCCGCGCCTGCGAGCGCGCGCGCGCGCCGCAGTCGCGGAGGCCCCCCGCAGCCACCAGGGTCCTGGTTTCCGTTTTCGAGGGGGGGGGAAGGGAGAGAGGAAGCCCTCCTCCTCCTCCTCCTCCTCCTCCTCCTCCTCCTCCTCCTCCTCCTCCTCTCCCGAAGCCCTCGTGCCGGCCGCCCTCCAACCCCAGCGCCGCTTGAGGAAGGGGGCCAGGCCCGGGGCTGCCCCGGCCTCGTAGCGGGCGCAGGCGTTCGCGACCCCGCTCCAGCCGCTGAGCCTCGCGGCTTCGAGGAGTCGGGAGGGAGGCGCGTGCCAGAGGCTCGGAGAGCCTGCTTCGGCAAGCACGTGTGAACCGATTCTCCAGAATCGATGTGCGGCGGGGGTGGGGCTCGGATTTCGCGACGTGTGTTGCCGAAATCCGAACCCTACCCCCACCGCCTATCGAGTTGCCCGAATCGTTGATCGGGGAGGGTTACTTTAAATTCCGCTCACAATGAACCCCAGACCCCTGCCGGGGTCCAAACGCACCAGTTTTTCGAACTGCATTCGACCGTGGCGTCGAGGAGGGCCCCGAAGGCCAAAACGCCTCGAACCTCGATCCTCGAGGCTCGAATCTCGGGCCGCCGCCCATCGAGTTGCCTGATCGGCGAAGTGGGCTTGGATCTCGCCTCCGACTCCTGCACCTTCCCCTCGGGGTGCCCCGAGGAAGCCGCGGTGCCGCGGGGGGGGCGGGCGGCAGGCGCCACTCGCCCGCCTCCTCCTCCTCCTCCTCCTCCTCCCTCCTCCTCCTCCTCCTCCTCCCTCCTCCTCCCCCTCCTCCCCCTCCTCCTCCTCCCTCCTCCTCCTCCTCCTCCTCCTCCTCCTCCTGCGGACCCAGGTGGACTGCCGCCCTGGGCCCCCCCCCCCCGGTTGCCGGGGGTCCGGCGTGTGAGAGATGCGTACGTCCGCCACCGTGCCGCGAGGCGTGCCACGGGAATCGGGCGAACCGTATCCATAGAGGCGAAGGCTCAGGCGAAGCACTCGAGGCGCAGTCTCCCAGGGGCAGCGCCCCCCTCTCGCAGGCGCACGCCCGAAGAGGCGCGCGGTGGTCGGGAGACACACGCAGAGCGGCGTATCCGCCACCGTGCCGCGAGGCACGAAGTAGATGCATGGAAAACAGGTAGGCGTCCGGGTAGCCTTCCCCTTTTTATCGTCGAAGTCGGATTTGATTGATCGGCCCTGGCTTTTCAAGAACAGGAGTTTGACGAGTTGGAGTGCCCTGAAGTCCCACCAGCCCTCTGTGCTTAGGTGGCTTGACGAACTTCGTCCTTCTTTCCGCAACCCCTCCTTCCCCTGTTCGGGGGAGGGGTCTATCACTGTTCCCTATTTATGTACACCCCCTCCCCCAAGCGACAGGCGCCAACCAGGAACCATGCGGGCCACCCTCCCCAGCCATCCTTGTCAAAAGCCATACAACATACACTTTGGGGCATCTGGATCATGCGCAGCCAACCCGATGCGCCCCCCCCCCCCCCCACAGTCCCTATCAAAACACAATACAAAACACACTTTGGGGCAAAGTCTTGAGTCATGTTCGGGAGGCCCGCGAACACTCTGTATTGTTTTTTGTAAGGATTGCGGGTGTGTGAGCATATTGTCTGCTGCGCGCAAGGCTACCATCCCTAACCACAAAACATACACAATGCACCTCGCGGCTAGATCTGGATCGTGCGCGGCCACCCCGCGATCACTGTCAAGTTGTTTTTGACAGGGACGGCGGGGGTGGTGGCGCATGGTTTGCTGTGCGCAGGCCCGCCAGACACAATGATGGGCATTGCTGTTCGACAAACACGGATGGTGGGGGCCGACATGTTTCCCGATGTGTGCTGTCACGTGCGCAAGCGCACCTGACACACTTTGCGTGTACCCCGAACGTGGCGCACCTGGCGCGGCTGGATTATGCGGCACACCTGGCGCACGCGGAGCACGTGGCGCATCTGGCGCACCACGCGTGCCTGGCATGCTCGGGCCCAAGGGGTGCCTGGCGCGCGCGGCGCGCCTGGCGCGCGTGGCGCACCTCGCCCCAGCGTCGCGCACCTTTGGTCGGTTTGGGTTCCCTGTAGCTGTCCATCCAAAGACGACCGCTGAACATGTTGAGGCTCGGGCGTTACGTATGCGTTGTGAGGGCGACTGGGAGTGCGCTAGACTGTTTGCTACCTGGGAGGTGTCTTGATCACTGCTCCCTATTAATATACACCCCCTCCCCCACCCGACCGGCAGCCAACCCGGAACCATGATAACCCCATGAGGGCCACCCCACCCCACCATCCCTGTCAAAAACATTATACAAAACGCACTCTGCCTCCACATTTGGAGCATGCGCGGCCGCCCCGCGACAATTATGTGTAGGTATTTTACAAGGGCGGCTGGGGCGCCAGCGAATTCCGCCTGCCTTCTGGGCGCAGGTGGTCGACCGACCAGCTTGACATATCAGTGACTGCTGCCTTTTCGCCTTATCGTTTCCGATGGGCTTTCGACACCCCCCAATGGTTCCAAAATTGACCAAGAAAGCAAAGCCGTGCCCAAGAGGCTTCCAAACCCGCGGCGTCTGCGGCGTTCTTACGCGATATGCTGACATCCAAGCGTTACTTATGTGTTGGGAGGGCGAGTGGGAGCGAGCAAGACGGCTTGCGGGCGGGTGGGTAGCTGGACCCCTCCCCATCACCCCCCCCCTGGTCCTGGGAAGGGGGGGGGGGGGGGGGCGCGAGGCACTAGAGCGCCCAAGATGGCTCATAGATGGCCTCAGAGAGCCCAAGATGGCCTCCAATATGGCTCAAGAGAGCTGAAGATGGCTGAAGATAGCCTCCCACATGCATCGAAGACGGCCAAAACAGCCCCAAGATGGTTTCGAGTGCTCTCCAGCCCTCCAAGGACCACCTCCAAAGGGCCCAAATGGCTCCAAAACCTTAGGAGCATCAGTGATTTTTGCGTTCTGGCCTTTTCGCTTCTGATGGCTTCCAAGGCCTCAAGATGGCCCCAAGACGGCCCAAGAGAGCCCAAAGAGGAGCCCAAGAGGACCCTAAAGAGGCCCCATAGAGCGCCCGAAGAACACCCCAAGAGCGCCCCAACAAGGCCCCCAAAGGCAATGTTTGAGCCCCCAAGGGGGTGCCTGATTTGAGGACCCCCCCTTTCAGCTACGGGGGCCAAGACGGCCCCGCCGCTCAGACCCGGCCAGAGGGCCCAAAGAGGGCCCCAAGATGTGGCCCAACCTCGAGAGAGCCCCAAGATGGCTCTAAGATGCCCCCGAAAACCTCTCACAACAACGCTTCAACTCCCTGGGGAGCTGTTTCTGAATGGAATGGGCTGGTGGGGATACTTTTTTTGGATCGGCGGCTCGCAAGGACAATTCCAGAGAGCGGGGGAAACAGCTGGTGGGGATACTTTTTTTGTTCGGCGGCCTGCAAGGAAAAGTCCAGAGGTCGTGTTCAACACGGGCACAGGGGCGCAATGCCAGATAATTTGTGAGGGCCAGGCCACAAGGAGGAAACCGCCAAGGGCGCCAACCCACGCACGTGCAACATGCAGTACAGGCGACAGCGGGACCGAGCCAGACTGTCCTAACAACAGCCGACCAGACCAGCAAGCGAACACGTGCCCAGCACAGACAAATTCAAGAGGCGTAAAAGGAAGGCACCCAAGAGGGCGCCAACCCACCACGTGCAGCATGCAATCCGGGACGACAGAGGCGCCCAGCCAGAATATTAGTCGGGCTGCCCTAGCAACAGCCGGGCACACTGACACGCAGGCGTACGCCCCACGAGACATGGCCATGAAACAATGCGTGCCAAGGAAGAGACCGCGCTGCAAGTCGGCCACTATAAGGCGGCGAAAGAAGGGCGGCACGAATGGGGGGCAGTGGGGGGCCAACGGCCAGCCGCCACAGCACACCAAAGAGAGAGCCCGGGCAGACGCTGCGAGCCCAGGTGAATGAACCGCGGGCTGGATTATTTCAGCGAGGCCTACGGGCAACGCCCACGACAGGGGGGGCCTAAGGAGTGAAACGGAGCACCCGGCACCGCTGGTGGGGATACGCGAAGCGTTAAGGATTCCTTGTAGTTCTCAATCCTCAGTCCTCAAGATTGAATACTAGGGGGCCTGGACCCAGAATTCTTGAATTCTCCGAGGGGGTCCCAGCATACCTCCCGCAGTTCTCTAGTGCCTCCCGCATGACTTTTTTCTGAACCACGAGCGCCCCAAAGCGGGCCAGGAGGGCCCCGAGAGGCCTCTGGCCTACAACCCAGACGAGGTACTGGATGGGCCGGTAGCCAGTATATATGCCGAGACAGAGAAAGAGAGAGAGAGAGAGAGAGAGGAGTGCAGATGTAGTACGGACGATGGCGAACCCAGGAGAACAGTTGAGGTCGACGATGGGAAGGCAGTGGTGCTGCGGGGCGTTGATACACGCGGGCCGCATTGACACACCGACGGGAAGCGCAGGTGGAGGGATGGAGGGTGAGGAGTCGACGGCAAGGCGCGGGCGCACGGGGGCCTGTAGGAGCCGCTGTTGGAGCCTGTTCCGGGCAGGTCATTGAAGAAGAGCCATTCGTCGCTGCCTCGCGACGGGGGATGGGGAGAGGCGATGGTGCTGCTCCTGCTGCTGCTGTTGCTGCGATCAGCTCCTACTCTTCTTCCCTCTCTCCCATCCCCCCTCCTCCTCGTCCCCCCCTCCTCCCTCTACCTGCCTGAGAGGCAACGGCAGAAGACCACGTAGTGCTGGAACTGCTCCATGAAACAGATCATGGCCACGAGGTGGTGGTTCTCCCTTAGGTCTGCGGAGCCCGGGGCGAGCTCCATCGCGAGCCGCAGCTCCGTCGCGAGCGTCAGCACGGCCCCCTTGCGCAACGGCGGGAAGATGAAGTCCAAGGCGACCAGAGGTGAACTACCAACGCCCATCTGCGCCACCAACTCCGATAGCTGCCTTGGCGAGGGCACCATGCCGGTCCAGGGGACCGGGACCAGCGCCAGGAGGCCTTTCACGTGGTGCTGCTCCTGGGGGAACCAGTAATGGCGTAAACACCCAAACTCAGAGGCCCGCGCGGATGTGTCGCATCGGCGCTGGCATCTCCTCCCTGGCGCGCGGAGCGCGCCAGGGGCGGCTCCGGAAGCCACGCCAGGGGGTTCCAGCGCAGATCCAAGAAACCCGCGCGGAGCTCCCCAAATTTATGTTGAGAACGTTTTCTAATTCGGCGTTTCGACATTGGGCGGAAGGGGGGGAGGGGGGGGTAATGGCTCCGGACCTCTGCTTAGTGTGACCGTTTGCAGCAGTGCGTCCGATGTGGAGACTCCACCTGCTCGAAACAGGAGGAGACGGAGGATGGGGAGGGAGGAGGAGGAGGAGGAGGAGGAGAGGAGGAGGAGGAGGAGGAGGGAGGAGGAGGAGGAGGAGGAGGAGGAGGAGGAGGAGGAGGAGGAGGAGGAGGGGGAGAGGGAGGGGGAGGAGGAGGAGGAGGAGGAGGAGGAGGAGGAGGGGAGGAGGAGGAGGAGGTGGAGGAGGAGGAGGAGGAGGAGGAGGCACCCAGAACAGCCAAGACCTACTCCCAGGGGGGGGGGGACGGGAGGGGCACGAGGGCCCGCGCCGATCGGCAAAGCAATGCAAACAAGAACAACGGTCACGCTTCTGCAGCTTTCTCTGGAGGCCTCCTAGATGGCGTCGGAGCAGATGTGGTCGAAGGATCGCGCCGCATTGCCGATACATCAGCGGTGCATCGGCGATGCATCGGCGACGTCGACGTCAAGCAAATCGGGCTCAACATCAAGCCGCATTGGCGATGCATCGGCGATGTGGCGCGATCCTCCGACCCCATCTACTCCGACCCCATCTAGGAGGCCTAGATTTCTCTGCTTCGAGCTCCAGCTCGTCGTTCAGCCGCCCGTAGGCCTCCGCGCAGTCGCCGTAGCCGCCGCCCCAGGCCTCCACCAGGGCGTTCACGGGGACCAGCGCCCCGCTGGCGGCGGCCCGCCCGTACAACTCCCAAGTCTCCTGCAACGCGCCCACCGCCCTGCTCCGGCTGGCCGAGGCGCGCCGCCGGATGATAGAAGAAGAAGAAAATAACACATACACATAAACTTTCGGCGCTCCGCGCGGATTCCTCGGATCCGCGCCAGACATCCCTCCCTGGCGCGCGGAGCGCGCCAGGGGCGGCGCCGGAGGCGCCGCCAGGGGGCCCAGCGCGGATCCAAGAAATCCGCGCGGAGCGCCAAAAGGTGATGTTCATTCCCCAATCAGAACTTGCCTCTGCAGGGCTTCTAGCGGATTCATATGGTTAGGTTAAGCTTGCCGCAGATTTTCGCTGCACGCCCGGGTGCCCGGGTGCCCGGGGGTGCCGGGGTGCCCAGGGGTGCCCGGGTGCCCAGGTTCCCCGGGGTGCCCGGAGGTGCCCAGGGGTGCCCAGAGGTGCCCCGGGGTGCCCGGCTGCTCTATCGCCCTATAGCCCTATAGAACTACAGCCCTATAGCCCTATAACCCTAATAGCCGTATAGCCCTATAGCCCTAATCGCCGTATAGCCCTATAGTCCTTATGCCCTATAGCCCAATCGCCCTACAGCCCTATAACCCTATAGCCCTTATAGGCCTATAGCCCTATTGCCTTGTAGCCCTAGCCCTATGTTCCTGTAGCCCTAGCCCTATGGTCCTATAACCGTATAGCCCCATAGCCCTACAGCCCTACAAAACGTTATGATTGGGTTTTTTCTCCCATATCATGTGTTTTTTTCTTCTTCGAGATGAGGCCCTCGAAGACGGCGTGGAACACGCGGGAGTGCCAGAGGCTCTGGAACACAGTGGAGATCCAGCAGCTCTCCTCGGGGAGCAAAAAGAGCGACATCGATGGTACGCATACTTCTGGAGGTCCGCGCAGAGTTCTCGGATCGGCGCTGGGACCCCCTCCCTGGCGCGAGCAGCGCGCCTCGGGCGGCGCCGCCAGGGGGCTCCAAAGCCGAGCCGAGAAATCCGCGCGGGCCTCCAAGAGTTTATGTTAATGTCAGTCTTGGTTCCCCGATCTCCGCCCGCGGGTTGCTGAACACCGAATGGGCGAACGACTTCTGCCGGATCATGCTGCCCAGCAGGGCCTGCGCCGTCAGCTCGACGGCGCGCTCGGTGGAGCTGTCCATGGGCAGGTCAAGCAGCGCATCCCGGGCGATGCCGAAGAGCTCCAGCTTGTCCATGGTGTCCTCCACCGCGCACGCGGCGAGGACGGCCTGGCTCCCCCGGGCGCCCCGCTGGAGCACGGCCTCGAGCAGGGCTCAACCTGAACAGTGTTTTCTGTTCACGTTTCGCTTTCGTGAAAAAACCGAAGTTTGAGCGAAAACGCCGGCCGGCGTCGCGCGGGCCGTTCTGGAACAAAACAGCGGGTGAAAAACAGAAGGAAGACGGAAACATATTGGAACAAGTAGGAAAACACTGTTTAGGTCGAGCCCTGGCCTCGAGGTGCCTGCGCCTCGCGAGGACCTCCCCCAGCAACATGCCGATGTCCTCCTCGCTGCTGGCCCGCTGCCGCCGCCCGGCCGCACGCCGCGCTGGCCGCCCGGCCAGCTCGCGCCCCTGGGCGGCGGGGGCGAGCACGCGGTGGGAGCCCAGCTCTGGGGGCAGCCGGGTGCAGATCCAGGACGCGCCGCCGCGCCCGCCCCAGTGCACCCTCAGCCAGGAGTCGTCGGCCTCGCAGCGGCCCGCGGCGCAGAAGCTCTCGCCGCACCGCAGCGTGCCGACCACCTCTGCACCGAAGCGGGGCGCGGAGCGGACGTTCCAGGAGTCGATGCCGTGCACGAACTCCGCCTCCGGCGGCAGGTGCCACAGCTCTCCGCGGGACCGGCTGCCCCGCCGAGCGGCTGGAGCCGCCTCGGCCCAGCCTCGCAACAGCCCGCTGCCGCATCCAGAGCAACACGAAGTCGGGCTTGGTCGGCGGCGTGGGCTGGCAGGCTTGGGCATACTGGACCCTTAGAGCCAGAGGCTGCGTGAGGCCAGAGCGGGCCAGGCGAGCGGCGAGGAGGGCAATCCCGGCGTCCGCAGGCCCGCTGCTCCCCTGGGAATGCGGACGCAGAGGTGGCCCATGAGAGGCAGGCATGAGGAGGCGCGGGGGACGGAGGTCGGCGACGGCGCCCGCAGGAGTGTCCACGCGAGGGGTCTGCGCGGCGCGGGGTCTGCGCCCAAATGGTAACGAGCAGGATGCGGACAGAAGAGGTGAAACTGGCAAGCGGCCCCAGGGTGCACAACGCTGACCTCAACCTGACTCAACTCCGCCGCATCCAAAAGTTCATTCACAAAACAAGCCGCCCCCCGTTGAGGGAAAACTTCATCGGGGAAAGCTGCTGCAAATCTCTACTTATGTCATCGGCACATCGGCTTTTGGTCTCTCGGTTGTCGTGATTCGGAGTGTAAGCCAGGAGTCCACAATCTAACGGTGTAGGCCCGGCTGTGACTAAGAATTGCGCCTTGTGAGCCCATCTACGTAGTCGTTGGTGGATGATCGAATCGTCTATATTCATCCCTCCGAGCAAGGGAGGTCGACAGGATAGGATAGGACAAGACACCACATCGAACTAGGTTCGGCCTCTGGGTGGCTGGGTGGTCAGCGCTGCGGCACTGGGAACACATTCTCGTCGCGACGGCAGAATGCACCTCGAGCTCGTAGCAGGCTCTCGCGCCTGCAGCCACGCCGTGCCACTTGTCCGAGTGAGACATCACGCCGTCATCCACGCAAACGGTGATCAGCATCGCTCCTTCACCTTTGAAGCAACATGTGTGCTGGTCGGCCTCGGGACTGGCTCGGCACGCCGTCGATCGAAATCCCGAGGGAGACCAGACATCGCGATACCACTGCTCCCCAGACCTCCCGGGGTGCGTTCTAACCAGAATTTCGAGGCGAGTGCAATGGTGGCGACCAGCGCTTCCCAAGATGGCCAAAAAGGCGAAATCGAGGCAAGGATAGCGGTAACGGTATCTTGTCCTCTTCTGGATTCCCAACCATGTCCTACTGCCTGCAGTACTGCCTGCAAAGAATCCGGGGAATCTTGAATAGTGAAGGGAGGCAGGAGTGGAAGAGGGCGAAGACTGCAATGGCCACGAAGCCGAGGCCGATGAAGGGTGCGAAAACGAGGAGGATCATGAGGATACGAGATAACCACTTGAGACACCGCACTTCTAAAAGTTGCCGGTCTGCAATCAAACGTGAGCGAGTCCCGCAGATAAAACACAATACCAACAAGACGGGCCAGGCACTAAGGCACTGCGCCAGACCAGAACTACTCGATCAGACCGCACGCGACTGGACCACGCCAAACCTCTGGCCACTGCATGTCGGACCACGCGAAACAACGAGCGAGACACAGGCTGCTGGATGGGCTGGCTTGGGAAGCGCGAAAGGACCAGGGGGGGGGACGGACCTCGAGTTGTCAAAGTAATGGGTCCTTCCCTCCCCTGGAACTGTGAAACAATCACGAGGTCCGACCGACGCCGTGACTTTTTCGCAACGCCGGCTGCCCAAATCTGCACCTCTTCCCCGCGACTGGGGTTTCACACAGGTTGTTTTGTCGACGGCCCCGAGGCCTGGTGAGGGGGCCCCGAGGCTGCGACAACGGCTGACAAACCTTCCGTCGTGACCGCTCCACGGTGAGAAATGGGGGAATCGAATCCGATCGGGCCGGCCGAAAAATCGATACCGAGTCGGATCGATCGGGACCGACATTCGGGTGTTGCCACAGGTGCTCCTGGCCCGAGGTGCCCCCAGCTTTCCGCTCCGTTGTGAAGCCACTGGGGCCCTCTGGGCCTTGTGAAGGGGTGCTCTGGAGGCCGTCTGGGCCCCCCCACGAGAATCCCGGGGGCACCTCGGGCCAGGGGGGCACTTCTAGCAACACCCGAGACATGGGCCCTGCAGGGAGGTGGCAGGCTCGCGCCGCCACGCGCCACGCGCGCCCTCTGGCGGCTGCACAGCGCCAGCCGCGGGCGCCGTCGCGGTCCGCGCCGCGAGCCGCTCAGCCCACGATTATGGGCTTCGTGTCGGCGGCCGCCTGCGGGAAGTCGGCCGCGGGGTCCCCGCCGGCGCACGGACCAGTCGGCCGACTGCGATGGAAAATCACGACACGACGTCGTGAAAAATCACGACGGGCAATTTTGTTGGCCCGTGAACCGATCGTGACAAATCACGGCGGGACATTTTGTGGCCGATTGGAGGCCTCTGGGAAAAGTGTCGGGACTTCCAGGGACACAGCATTAAAAAGTAAGACGTCGGATGTGTGGGTTTGTCTTCCGTCCTCTTCCCCCCTCCCTTCCCTCGCACTCCCTCCTCCTCCCCGCCTCCCCCCCGCCTTGCCCATCCCTCTAGGCTTCTGCATCCCCTCACCCCCCTGCTCCCTTCCCCCTCCCTCACACCAAAGGCTTCCGCCGCTCCGTCTGCAACGGCCCCGCCCCCCTGACCTCAACCGCCGTGCAGAAATCACGACGCCGGCTTTATGGAGCTCCCTCGACAACCGACTACATTGGCTTGAGCGCCGATTCACTGGAGCACCGAAACTCGAAAAGGAGATCAGAACGGCCTCCCGTCATTACGCCTCCCCACGGGGAGGACGTCGGGGAGCACTGCTTTTTGAGCTCTCCCGGGCAAGGGCACGCGCGAGATCGGCCCCGGATCTGTTCACGGGCACCGTCCTGACAGAGTCTGCGAGCCGGGCCTCCTGGAGCGGGAGCACAACGAACTCTACATGTGAAAACGATGTGCGTATATACGATTTCTGATTGAAATGGTTGTTCATCTAAGAATTGGCGTCGCCAGCCCCGCGGCTAACTGGCCAGCCCTCCTAAGCAACGCAAGGCGTGCTGGAAGCGAACGGGCACGCTCGAACGGAGCTTCTTGGCATCAGCGCTTGCAGCGTGATGAGCATCGCGTGCGAGCAGGCACGCATTTATCGGGGAGACGTAAGACCCAGGTACGGTGCGAATGGGCACGCATTTATCGAGGAAGCATAAGACTCGGGTACGAGGGACTCGGGTTGGCCTGACGGGACCGTCATAAAAATGACGAGACCCAATCTGACATCCCGCGAGCACTGAACCAAACCGCCGACAAGCCCGAATTCTGGATTACTCGAGTCTTACGTTACGGGCAATAGTGGAGTGCGCTTCGTGACATCAGCAATAGGTCGGGCGTGTGCTTCTACAGGGGGATTTTGGACGACAAATAAAACCTAGTCAAACTATGCAAACATTTTGAAAATGATAGAGAAATCGTCCCCAGGCTTTTTCCCATACTTTTTTGCATGTTCCTCCTGTAGAATGACACGCTGGCAACGTGATGATCATCGAGTCCAAGCGGGCACGGGTGAGCTTATCGGCAGCGTCCTTGGCAGAAATGCTGGCCATGCGAAGTGCACAATACGCAAACCCGCAAGCTCGGAAACGACTTCCTGCTGACAACGCTGGCGATGCCATGCGCGGCGCACGTGAACCCGCACGCTTGGAGGACGGCAACGAGGACGACGACCACATGGAGGTCATATCCAGTGCAAACCCAAACAACACGCTCGAAATGAACCTCCTGCCGACAACGCTGGTCATTCGATGCGCGGCCCCTTCGAGCCGGCACCCATGGCGTGAACGTCCTGGCAACAACGCTGGCAACGTGAACCGCAATCAATGGAAACAAACCGCTACGTTCACGAAACTCACGGAAGAATGGTACTGGAATGACACGGGAGGGCAGAGACACGAACCTTGCAGCGGGAAACTCATCAAACATAGAAACGCTCACACTGCACGCACGGACCCAACATCCTGACAACACCGCTGGCAATAAGATGATCACCTAACACAATCCGGCACACTCGAATGAACCCTTACCAGCAACGCTGGCGCAGCGAAACGCGCCGTGCGCGAAACAACACGTACGAACAACCCCACATCGTCCTTGCCTCCCTCCTTCCACCTCGTAAGATCTGTCATCTGCATTCATCATCTTTTCCTCCACGTCCTCCTGTTCCTCCTCCTCCTCCTCCTCCTCCTCTCCTTCCTCTTCCTCCCCTTGTCACTTCTCCTCCTCAATCTTTCCCCGCCGCATCCGTTTGCCTCCGCGGGGCCGGCAGGGGCGGGGGAAAGGGAAGAGGAAAAGAAGACGGCTGGGGTGGAGAGGGAGACTTTTGGGTCGAGGGGCCGGGCAAAGGTGGAAATAGAGTTCGACTAATCTCTAACCAACTCTTAACCAAGTCCCTGGCCACACCCCTGGATCTACCTGGTTCGGCGCCCAGGACGCCTTTCGAAAACGACGAGGGCGGGGGCAAGGAGGGGGCAAAGGAGGAGAGGGGGATGGGGAGGGAACCACAGGAGGGCAGATGCTTCTCGGCCGCTGCGTGGAGGCTCTGGTTCGTTTCACTTGAAAGAAACACCCTCGCAAGTCTGGTCTCCGAGAAAGGGGGAGGAGGAGGAGGAGGAGGAGGAGGAGGAGGAGGAGGAGGAGGAGGAGGAGGAGGAAGAGGAGGAGGAGGACGTGGGGTCAGACCCAAGCGAACCATTTGATTACTCTTCTGTTGTCGAACTGTTGCCGTGGAGGGGTCGTGGCGCCCCTGGCCCGACGGAGTAGGTAGCCAGTGCTGACGCGCGAGCGGCAGTTCCCTGGTAAGCTCCGAACCTGTTTTTCGGGGGGTGGGGGGCCATGCTTGATCAGATCGTTCAGATGCCTCGAGCGAGAGAGCGGCGAGCAGGGAGGAGGCCAGATGGGGTAGGAGAATAACGGGAGGAAAAAGGAATAGTGGACGGGAGAGAACAACGGGAGAAACAAGGAATAGTACAAGGCCCAAACTGCTTGTTCGAGGGCATGCATGGCGAGGATGCTTCCTGTAAGCAGCATCGAGGGTGCGAAGGCATCCCTGGCATGAGGAGGAGGGGAGGATGGGGAGGAGGAGGAGAAGGACGACGACGACGACGACGACGAAGAGCTCGACGACGACACCGAAGGCGAAGGCGGATTGGGAGCAGGAGGACGCGCGAACACTCTGAGGAGCAGCCTTGGCTAACAACAATGGTGTTAGTGGATATTGTGCTCTGGCTGTAGCCGGCGGCGGGCAAGGGGGGGAAGTGAGAAGGAGAAGGCCTTCTCAGAAGGCGACGGGACTTCTCAGAAGCCCTCTCGCCTTCTGAGACATTTTCTGTGTCTTCGGGACAGACTTAGAAAACTTCTCAGAATTCCGGGGGACTTCCCTGCCTTTTGAGAACGCCTGCCCCTTCTACTTCCCCCAGGCTCGCCGACGATATAATTCCCCAATCAGTGCTTGCACTGAGGGGTTCATAACGGATCTGGAATGATTTGGCGAACGTGGACGGCCGATTTCGGTACGCCGCCGGGTTCCCGGTTTGGGGTTCCAGGGTTCCTGGTTGCTGGTTCTGGGCCGATTTCGGGATCCCACGATCGAGCTCACGATCGACCTCATGATCGATCTCACTATCCATCTCACTCAATCGATCTCACCAAACCATCCACTGATTGGGGTTTCTCTCGGGTGTAATTCGCGTATTCGCCCTCTTAGTTTCGACAGCGTCCAAAGCGGCCCGAGAGGCCCTCAAGATCGCTCCAGGACGGCCCAAGAGGTCCCTGGATGGCCCCAAGACCGCCCAGGAGAGCCCCAGAGTGGCCCACGAGGCGCCCAGGAGGCGCCCCAGAAGAGCCTCCAAGAGGGGCCCAAGAGCGAGCACTCGAATGTGGACATTTCGAGCCCCAAGAGGGAACCCCGAGACCGCCATTAGGCGCCCGCCCAACAGACCCCAAGAGCCTCCAAGAGGGGCCCAAGAGCGAGCACTCGAATGTGGACATTTCGATCCCCAGGAGGGAACCCCGAGACCGCCATGAGGCGCCCGCCCAACAGACCCCAAGAGCCTCCGAGAGGGGCCCGCGGGGCCCAAAAGATGGCCCAACACAGGACCCTCAAGTGGTCCCCAAGAGGCAAGAGGCCTCACCAAGCTCCTCCTCCTCCTCTTCCTCCTCCTCCTCCTCCCCCTCCTCCACCCGAGAGGCAAGGGGCCTCACCAATGGGCGTCGTCTCTCCTCCGGGAGTTGGCGAACTGGCGCAAGCCCCCTGAAGAGACATCTGGAGATCCGCGCGGAGCTCTTGGGTAGATGTCTGTGCCTCTAGTTCTTGTTATACTGAGGGGGCCCCCGCCTCCCCGAACACTAGAGACCTCCTAGATGGGGTCCGCGTAGATGGGGTCGGAGGATCGCGCCGCATCGCCGACACATTGGCGGTACATCGCCGATGTATCGGCGACATCGGCGACGCATTGGCGACGCCAGGGTGGAGAAACTCGGACTCCACATCGCGCCGCATCACCGATGCATCGACCATGCGGCGCGATCTTTCGACCCCATCCACTCCGATCCCATCTAGGAGGCCTAGATCTTGTTCTTGCTCTACTGAAGGGCCCCCCGCCTCCTCCTCCTCCTCCTCCTCCTCCTCCTCCTCCTCCCCCTCCTCCTCCCCGAACACACCGAGGACTGGCCATGACGTTCTCCGGGGGAATCTCTGGGGGCCCCCGTGGGCTGTCCGGGACGGCCCCCTGTGGGCTCCTGGCCCGCGCCCCCTCCGCAAACGGGTGGGCCGTGCCTCTAGGGGCCGGAGCTCGCGGGGGAACGGTTTGGTCGGACAGGCCCTCCTGCAGGCGGATTTTGAAGGAAACATGACAAATAGTCAAAACAACATATCAGCCAGCGTTGACTCCAAATCGATTAGACGACTCAAATCAAGGAATCGGAGGAATCGAGCATGCTTGGAATCCGCAACTCAGCAAGCAAGCAAGCGTGCAAGCAAGCGCGCAAGCAAGCAATCAAGCAAGCAATCAAGCAAACGTGCAAGCGCGCAAGCAGGCATACGTAAGGGCGGGTGCCATTGGAAACATAGAGGGGGATAGGCATAGGCATAGGCATAGCCATAGGAATTAGGGGGGGCATAGGAATTAGGAGGGGGGGCAACGGACCAATTAGTAGGGAAGCCTATATGGAGAATGTGTACAAATAGCCAGAAATGGTCGAAACATCGCCCCCAGACTATTTTTCCTTGCTATTTTTGAAAGCTCCTCCTGTAGAGGGACATGCCCGACTTCAGGGGACGGCCCGAGTACGCCGCCCTCTCCTTCGCGGGCCAACCAGAGCCCATCCAAACCGCAAACAGCCCACGAGTACTTCGCCCTTCCGCTGCCGCCCTCTCTTCCTCCCACGCCCTCCTCTTGCCGCGCCCTTCCTCCCACGCCCTTCCTCCCTCGCCCTTCCTCCCACGCCCTTCCTCCCACGCCCTTCCTCCCGCGCCCTCCTCTTGCCGCGCCCTTCCTCCCACGCCCTCTCTTCCTCCCACGCCCTTCCTCCCACGCCCTCTCCCTCTCACCGACCACTCCTCCCGTCGCCGCCACTCCGTGGTGCTCGATCTGCCCATCCGACTATCCGGCGGCGCTGGCGCATGCGCGCATGCGGGGCCCGCCCCGGCCTCTGCAGCGGCTACCTCCTGCGGGTTCCCCCGCGGTCAGCTCGTGGGGTCCAGTGGTGCAGAAGTGAAAGAGTGAAAGAATGCGACGGTGGCGGCGGGGGCGGAAGTGAGCTTCATAGTGGAAGCGGAAGTGGAGGTGGGGGTCAACTTCCCCAAACGAGCGGCAGCGCGCCCATCCAACAGACATCACCCAACGGCTCACCATAGACGACGGTGGTCACACGACGGACCATACAAACGCCAGGTGCACCACACTCGCGATGTTCGCCATGCGCGCCAGATGCGGCACGCACACTCGGCGCTCCTGGTGCCCGATCGTGCCAGGCGCACCTCGCGTGCGCCAAGCGCGGCACGTGCTGCACGAGCGCTGAGTTTGCAGCGTGCGCGGCGCGCGAAAAGAGCGCAGCGCCGGCGCCGGTTGCGCCAGTGCAGACGGCAGCACACCTCGGGAAAGATTTCAGCACCCCCACCCATCCCAGTCGAACACCAATGCGATGCGACGGCGGGGATGTCAACATGGTGCACGGTGTGCTTGTGTGCACCCACAATGCAATCAATTTGCACCGGCTTTCGACATGCTTGCGTGCCCGCGCGCAACTGGAAAACTGCCCGCATCCCCCCTGTCCCTAGGGCTCCCAACTTCGCGCTTCGCGCTTCGCGCTGCGCGAAGCGCGAATAACTTCGCGCTCTCGCGCCGCCCTCCCAAAGGGAGAATAGGAGGACGAGGAGGAGGGGGAGAAGGAACGAGGACCGCGAAGCGCGAAGCGCGAATAACTTCGCGCCCTCGAGGGAGCCCTTGCTGTCCCTGTCAAAAGCCGTGCAAGGTGGCGCGGCCCAGTGCCTCCGCATCGCTCTCTCAGCAAAGATGCCCGGGCCCGACCACGAGCACCCTTCCACAAGAAACCCCACCCTGAGACCCCAGGACGTCTATGGATTTTTGGTGTGGGAACGTCACGCTTCCTCCTCCTCCTCCTCCTCCTCCTCCTCCGCCTCCGCCTCCGCCTCCGCCTCCGCCTCCGCCTCCGCCTCCGCCTCCGCCTCCTCCTCCTCCTCCTCCTCCTCCTCCTCCTCTGCCTCCCATCGCAAAACCATCGAAACACAGGAAGCCCAGGGCACCCTGGAGGCAAGCAGGGTGCTTCTTGGCATGGGCCTCCGCTGCACGGCCCCTGGTCGGCGGCCCCTCGAGTGTGGGGTGGGGGTGGGGACGTTGGTGAACACGGAGCAGGGGCTGGGGGAGGAGGGGAGCGGCAGCATCACGTTTGCGGTGGGCCCCTGGGCTCCTCCTCCCTTCCACATCCGCCTCCCTTCAGTATCGGATGTGTGCTGCCCTGCTCGTCGTCGTCGTCGTCCTCTTCCCTGGCCAGCTGCAGCAGAGATGAGGCTCCTCCCCATCAGCTGGGGAGCAGACAATTTTCCCTGATAGCCAATGCGGTAAAGGCTCTAAAACCACGCAGAAACCCCACTATGGGGATGAGGAGAGGTAGGAGACCGGATTCGCGGAATTGCCGTTTCGCCACAGCATTCGTCACACTTCAGGACCACAGAGGAGTCCCACAGGAGAGGACGGGGAGAGGACTGGACTCCCATCATCGCTGTTTCGCCTCAGACTTCCTCGCACTTTGAAAGCCACAGCGGCCGATTCGCCCGAGACTTCCTCACACTTTAGGACCACAGACCACCATCGCCAACGCCATCTCATCATGATCATGATCAACGCCTCTGCTGCTATCATCGGGCCGGGCGAAAGGGGGGGATTGGGAAAGGGGGGGTTACGAAATTTGCTGCATGCAGCTGGTTTCGGCCTCACCGAGGGGGCCATTCCTCGATACATAGCCGCCCCCGGCGCCGGGAGGCGCCGGGAAAGTCAGCTACGTGAGCTGATTCTCAAACCCCCCCTTTGCTATCCCCCCCTTTCGCCCGACCCGATATCAAGGTGCTCTGCTGGGCTGATCACGCGCAGGCGCCATCTGGGGACTGGCGCCGGCCGAGGAAAGGCCTCCACGGGCCCAGGGGCACCCTTGGGGGGGGCCAGCAAGATTGCCCGCGAGGGGCCCGCAACATGACTCCACCAGTGCCTGGCAAGACGGCGAGCACCGTGCCAGAAAGCGGTGGCACTGGGGCCCTTCCGTGAACAATACGTGGGAGAATTCATGAGATTTCCCTGGACGAGCACCGCGCTCGGACACGCTCGCACCCTCGGATTTACGCCGAGCGTTTGGCGCCTGCGACAGGCCTGCAACGCGCGCTCTTTGGGAAAGGGCCCGCACCCCGCACTAGGAGCGGACTTTGCTATTCGCTACCATCACCCACTTGCATCCAAAACCTCCATTCCCCTCCGCATGTGCGTATGATGGCTACAACATCTGCAACGAGGTAGATCGATGCGCATAGGCAGACCGATGCCGGCACGAAGGGACCCATACTTCTAATACAATTTACATGTGAAGGAGCTCGGATCCACCCGTCAAGGGAGCACCCTCACTGACCTCCAGATTGGCCTCCACCTCAACGGAGACGCGAACTGAGCCCACGCTTGCCCACACAGCGCGGTGGACGGGGACAGGAGGGGATGGCGGGAGGCGGAGAGGGCATCAGAGGGGGAGGGGGATGGGAAGAGGAGGGGGAGGGGGAGACGGGGGAGAAGGCAGAACAGGCAGAACAGAGCGATGAGTCGGGGCCGCAGCTGGCCGGGTATCCTCCGCGTCGAAATGCTGGCGCTGCCTGCGGTGCTGCTCCAGGTGGGGGGCGTCCTGGCAGACGAAGCCGCAGACCTCAATGCGCGCCCCGTTCGCATACCAGAAGCTCGGAATGGGCAGAGCGAAATGGTGGGAGGGGGGGAGGGAGCAGGGGGGAGGAAGAGGAAGAGGATTGAGCGGGAAGGTGGAAAGGGAGGGAGAGGGGGAAGGATCACGGAGAGAGAAGCGGCTAGGCAGGGGGGCGGACAGGAGAGGCATGGGCAAAGGTAGAAGAATGGGGAGGGGAGAGGGAGGCGGAGGAAGGGAAGGGGAGTGGGCGGGGGAGGGGGAGACGGGAATCGAAGAGGGAGAGGGGGGGGGGGAAGTGGACACGGGGGGGGGGGGAAGGCGAAGGGCACCAGGGAACCAGGGAAGGACACGCCAGGAAGGAGATGGGGACAGACGGACGAAGCGAAGGCAGAGGGGGGAGACGGAGCGGGGGAAGGGGGGGAGAGGAGTGGAGAGGCGGTGAGAAAGAGGAGGCGAGGGGGAGAGGGAACGGGGATGGGTGAAAGGGAGGGGGGTAGGGGGGTGAAGGGGGTGAGGGGGAAGCGGGGGAAGGGGGTGAGAGGGAGGGGGAGAGATGAGGGGGAGAGGAGTGGAGATGCGGAGAAGGCGAGAAAGGGGAGTTGAGGGGGAGAGGGAACGGGGAGGATGCCGCGGATGGAAGCAGCCGAGGAATGGGAACGGGAATGTCAGGCCGCAAAACGAGGGAACGCCTATCCATCTGTCATTGAACTTCTGACTTGACTTGCCTGCAGGCCTGAGGTAGCATCTCTTGTCAGAGCTCTCCTCTACGGCTTGAAACTAATCCCGAAGAGGGGGCCACAGGAGCGAGGAGGAGGAGGACGAGGGGGGGCGACCAGACCAGGCAGACCCCGCCAGCGGGAACCCGCCAGGAGGACCCCTACTGTCAATGCAACTGCACCTGGGGCTCCGCCCAATTTCCAACTTTTCAGGGGCCCGCAAACGGTGTGGTGATCACACCGCGTGGTGAGTCAGTGGGGATTCGGGGTCATGGCACCGTTTTGGGATTCGGGTCGTTCTCCGAAGACGTCTTGAGTCACCAGGGCCTCCCCGTGCGGTGAAGGACCGCGCCGCGCGGTGAGGTCTCTTGGGATTTCGAGGTCGTCGCGCGGTCCGTCACCACACGGTTTTGGGACCCCCGAGCCCCGACTCGAGACCTCCTCCTCCTCCTCCACCTCCTCCTCCTCCTCCGCCTCCTCCTCCTCCCTCCTCCTCCGGACAGCGGTCCGGGGGCACTGCAAATCGGTGCCAGCGCAACCTCCATTGCGCGGCGCCGGACCCCAGGAGCAGCCGCTGAGTAGTGCCTGACCAGAGTGCCCGGTCACCAAGCAGCCGCCGCCCAACGGGGGAGGAATTGCGCCAGCCTCCTCCTCCTCCTCCTCCTCCTCCTCTTCCTCCTCCTCCTCCTCCTCCTCCTCCCCCTCCTCCTCCCCCTCCTCCTGCTCCTCCGATCCTCCCCCTCCTCCTCCCCAGACCCCCGGCGCCAGGATTTTTGTCATAACGTCGACCCCCAGGAGGTCCCGAGCCGCTTCCTGGGACCGGTTCTTCGGCCCGAGCAAATTGTTTACGGTCCCGAGGCCCGGCAAGGGCCCCCAGAGGCCGAAGGTAGCGAAACGCCTCCCGCCGTGATGTGGGGATTTGTCCATGTCCACCGCCTGGGGTCTGGCGTCCTGGTGCCCCACCGGGCGGTGGATATGGACAAATGTTGGCCCCTGGGGGCTCGAATGTGTCCATAATCCACCGCCTGCCGATGCCCCCGAAATTGATCCTCCAGGCGGTGGTCATCTATAAGTTCCCGCCTTGGACTCGAGGGTGTCTGGGTCTCCTGCCCTGCAGCCACGAGCCTTTCGGGTCGGGCGAAAGGGGGGGATAGCAAAGGGGGGGGTTGAGAATCAGCTCACGTAGCTGATTTTCCCGGCGCCTCCTGGCGCCGGAGGCGACCATGCATCGAGGAATGGGCCCCTCGGTGGGGCCGAAACCAGCTGCATGCAGCAAATTTCGTAACCCCCCCTTTCCCAATCCCCCCCTTTCGTCCGGCCCGAGCCTTGCGCACCTCAGGAGTCCGACCTCTCCCGGGGCCCCAGCGCACCAGTCCGAGCTGCGTCCAGCCGTGGCGACGAGGCCCCCCCCCGAAGCCGAACCACCAGTGTCTCAATCGGCTCTCCGCTGATCCTCTTCGTTCGTTCGTTCGCTCGTGGTCTTCGGGGCGGAGTCTGAGTCCCAAACAAACTACTAGAGCAGAGCGGCGCTGGGAAAATGAGAAGCGCGAGGCAGCGAACGCGGCAGCGGCGCGTCCTCGACGTGCATCTTGAGGAGTCCCCCCCCAGCTCCCTGGTACAAGGCTCATGCTGATCCTCCTCCTCCTACTCCTCTTCTTCCTCCTCCTCCTCCTCCTCCTCCGCCTCCGCCTCCTCCTCCTCCTCCTCCTCCTCCTCCTCCTCCTCCTCCTCCTCCTCCTCCTCCTCCTCCTCCTCCTCCCCCTCCCTCTCCCACTCCTCGGTCACGAGCCTTGCACACCCAAGGAGTCTTCTTCCTGTGCCACGGCACGGTGACAGCCGTCTCCTCGGGGGCCCGGCCGTTCGCCGAGGGGGCGGCTGCCTGGCATCCCTCTGGGAGGCGTCTCCCCGAGGGCCCTCTCCTCTGTCACTCCGAACATGTCGGCCCTCGAGATCGTCGAGATCCTCGAGCCTCGAGCCCCGATCCTTAGAGGCCTCCTGGATGGGGGTCCGAGAGGACGGGGTCGTAAGGTCGCGCCGCATCGCCGATGCATCGCCGATGCATCGGCGACGTCGGGAATGCATCGGCGCTGTCGGCGTGGAGAAAATCGGGCTCCGCACCGAACCGCATCGGCGATGCATCGGCGATGCAGTGCGTTCCTATGGCCCCATCCATCGGCGACTCCGAAGGGTGTGGTTTGCAAAGGGTGTGGTTTGCAACCGACACCCTGGGGGGCACCGGGGCACCCTGGGAGCGGGCGAGGACCTCGACAGAGCTCTCCGTCGCGCCCCGAGGAGGTCCGACGGGGACAGTGTCGTGCTCCCTAGGCCCCAGCGGTGCCGATCGGAAACCACACCCCAGCGTAAGCACACCCTTTGTAGTCGCCGATTCTCCTGCCCATGCCTAGGCCCAAGCTACTCGACAAGAGGCAGAAAATCACAACTGCCCGAGCGTGAAAATCGCCCGCCTCCCGACTGATGGGAGGGGAACTCCTCCCTGCCGCAGCCGGCCGTGGAAGGAGGAGGAGGATGAGGATGAGGAGGAGGAGCTCACCAAACTACGGGATTTCTGGGCTTACCCCGCGCGCCCTGGGTGTCCGTCGCGCGGGTTTCCCAGCGGCCTCAGGAGCTTGGTTCGGAATCGAAACTTCCAGCGTGCCCTGAAATGGTCCCTGGGGACCGTTTTGAGGCCAACTTGGGGCCCCTTCGGCCGTTTAGAACTCTCAGCTTAGGAGGCTGGTCCAAGAAACACACATCATCGAACACACATGTGGTTGTGCTTTAATGTTTCAATCGTCGCCCACGTGCTCGGTCTGGACAGCTTCCGAGACAGCCTGAGAGGCTCCCGAGGCGACCGCTGAAACCCAACGGGGGTGCCTAGGGGGGCGCCCAGGCCCAAGAGAGCCCCAAGAGGGAGGGGGTGTGGCGGGCAGGAGCCCTTCTTCCCAATGTGGGCAAAGAGACAACCGGCAGACTCCCAGGAGGTTTCCAAGGAGACCTCCAGGAGATCCCCAAGAGGCCCCCGCAAGAGACCCCAAGAAGCCTCCAAGAGGCCTCTGCTAAGCCTCTGGTCCAGGACACAGGCATGGGGGCAGAGGGCTACTAAATATTAGCACGCACGCACGCAGGATAAAGCGACGGCGTAAACTCGCGTGAACATAAACTAAGCTCAACAATTGAACTCATGGATCTTACCACAAGCCCGCAATCCACTCCACGCTGATCAGTACTTCTCATGCGAACGACGACGAAGAAGAGATTAGGCGCGCAAAACACACCATGTACATCATGCACACTGCGCACACCAGCTGCATGAATAACACCAGACGCCCGGCGTATTTCCACACTTGCTAGCTGCATGTCCAGTCTGTCCAGTAGCTTTCTTGGGTCCGTCCCTTCCGCATGCTTCTACTACTCTTGCTCTTCCTTCTATTCCTGTTCCTCGTATTCCTCTTCCTCCTCCTCCTTCTCCTCCTCATACTCGTCCTCCTTCTCCTACTCCACTTCCATCTCCTCTTCGTCCCGCATCCGTGCCCCTCCCTCGATATCGCTCCGAAGCGCCGGGCAGACCACACGACGGTCTCGAACCACTCCTGGAGCACTGATGCACGGCTCTTGGGCCAGAAAGCCCTGAGAGCGTTTTCGGGTGGAGGAGGAGGAGGGAGAGGAGGAGAGGGAGGAGGAAGAGGAGGAGGAGGAGAAGGAGGAGGAGGAAGAGGAGCAGAGAGAGGATGAGGATGATGAGGGAGGGCCCTTTTGGGCTTCTTGTAGTGTTTTTTAAGGTACTCCGAGAGCTCCAGTGCCCTGTTGAAGCCCCTCGTTGGGGCACCCATGGGGCGTCTTTGGGGCGGTCTTGGATCACCTTGGGCGCATCTTGTCTTGGACGCTAAAGGGGTGGGGGGAGGGGGGAAAGCTTCTTCGAAGCACCCATGCTTCTTAGAAGGCGCTGGCCTTGCATCTACAGACAAGGCCCGCGCCTTCTCAGAAGCGGGGGTGCTTCTGAGAAACCTTCCCCCCTCCCCCTACCCCCCTCCGCGCGTGGCCGACTTGTGCCGCCTCGATGTCCGCTTCGACGCTCAGGGTCTGCTCCGAAATCGCACCTGGGCCCATCCTCGGCCGAAGTGCGCGGAAGACGAAGCACAACGCAATCAGCCAGTGTTCTGTGCTCTGCTCTGTCTAAGGTCTTCTCGGCTTGCCACATGGCAAATTATTGAGGGCCCGGGGGGGGCATCCCGTGGCCTCAAAAGGGGTCTGCTGGCCTGGCGCCGCGTGGGGCCGGCGGGAGACGGCTTGACCTTCTATTTGGCCAGCAGGACTCTCGTTCCTGCTGCTGCCCGTGGTCGTGAACGTTTCCCTGGCCCACTCGCGCTCGCGCTCACCTCCCCGTCTCCCTCTCCCCGTCGACCTCCCTCGCCCTCCCCTTCCCTCCCATGCCCCCTCCGCCCCCACCCCGCCCCCTCCTCCCTTTGCCCCTCTCTCCTCTACCCCAGATTCTCTGTTCTTTTTGGTTTCGTGCGTGGTTTTCACGCCAAATGATCAAGGATGCTCCTGGATGGTCCTCGCCGAAGGAAACATGCACACGTCCGAGCGATGCCAAATCGTCTAGCGAGCACTGCCGGTGACGGGGAGGCGTTCGAAGGCACCGGGCCGCCCGGGGCACAACGGCGCGGGGGCCCTCCTGAATGTAAACCAGCTGCAGCTCCGCCTGCCGTGGCCAGGCGTCGGGGGCCCCTCCGAGGGAGGGCCACGCAGGGCGCAGCGGTGCGAGGCGAGGGGAGGCGAGCGGGAGGATAGCTGCGCCGCTTGACGGTCTCAGAGCCAGCAGCAACAGCGGCGTGGAGGGGGCCAGGGAATGGGAATGGGGATGGGGGAGGAATTACTTGGATGGAGGAGGAGCAGGCGGAGCAGCAGGAGGAGGAGGAGGAGAAGGAGGAGGAGGAGGAATAGGAGGAGAAGGAGTGGGAAGAGGATTGGAGGAAGGGGGGGAGGGGAGGGAGGACGCCTCGGCCGACCTCTCCCGACCTCCGGCTGGCGGTGCCACGGTCACGGGGCGAGACAGGCGGGCGAGACAGGCGCTCGACCCTTCAGGGCACCCACGCCACCTGCGCGACGCAGCATGGGGGCCGCCAGCTAATCGTACACGGATGGGGAGCGGGAAGAGGGCACCTGCCGCGCCCCCGTTGCAGAGAGGCCCGAAGACTCACCCAAAAACGTCTCCGAGGCGGCCCGAGACGGAACTGTGGATCGACAGGCGGCCCCAACAATCCTCAAGACTAACCCTGAACAGGCATTGAGAACCCCCCCTAGGTTATTCTGAGCACCCGGTTTTTCAATATTCCAGGCGGGCAGTTTTCGCAGTTTGTCCGTGACCCCATCAGCGCCAAGGAAATCCAGAGCAGATCCCTAAGAGGCCCTTGAGATGATAGAGAAGTTGATCAGTTTCTTTAGCGATTTTGCACTTGGGGGTCCTTATATGCGCCTTGGGGAGCGTGGTGCCCAATTGCCGCTGAGTTGTCGGTGAAATAAGCTGCGCCCATGGTTGCATCATATTTTGTGGCCCTTCGTCGGGTATAACGTGTCGCTGCCTTTCGTGAAAATTCTGGAACCGAACCGAACCGCCCGAACCGAACCGGGACGAACCGAACTGGCGTGAACCAATAATAACTTCAACACGAACCGAACCGAACCGGTCGTCTTCGACGCTCGAACCGAACCAAACCGAAGCGAACTAACTTCGATTTTGATGCGGAACCGGACCGAACCGGAACGACTGAACCAGAACGAACCGGAAACGGAACCCGACCGAACCCGAACGAAAGAACCTCCACGTCAACTCGACGAGACGTCGTTGAGGCCTCTTGGAATCGCTATAGCGCCTGGAGCTCCCAGTGACCCCTCCCCCGCGGGACCCCCGTGACCCCTCCCCCGCGGGGCCCCTGTCGCCCCCCGGGGCCCACCGTGACCTCTCCCCCCCCCCGTGACCCCCGTGGCCCCTGTGACCACTCCCCCGCGGGACCCCCCGTGACCCACGTGACCCCTCCCCTCGTGAACCCCGTGACCTCTCCCCGGCGGGAGCCCCGTGACCCCTGTGACCCCTCCCCTGCACCCCTGTGACCTCCCCCCCCGTGACCCCTGTGGCCCCTGTGACCCCTGCCAGGCGGGACCCCCTGTGACCCCGTGACCCCTCCCCCCTGTGAACCCCGCGACCCCTGTGACCCCTCCCCCGCGGGGCCCCCGTGATCCCCGTGACACCTCCCCCGCGGGACATCCCGCCACCCCTGTGTCCCCTGCCTCACGGGGGCCCTGTGACCCCTCACCCGCGGGGGGCCCGTGGTGAGGGGCGGGGCGTCGACGAAACAGACGACGATGCCCGTGGGGAGGGGCTGGGCCCTCTCCCTCTCTCGGATGCCAGACCGCCCGGAGGGCGGAGCGCAACGCGGCCCTCCTTTCCTGCCCTTTGTCCTCCTCGTCCTCGTCGTCGGCGTCGTCCTCGTCCTCCTCTTGCTCCCCCTTCCCTCCTCCTCCTCCTCCTCCTCCTCCTTCTTCTCTTCCTCCTCCTCCTCCTCCTCCTCCTCCTCCTCCTCCTTGTCCTCCTCCTTGTCCTCCTCCTCCTCCTCCTTGTCCTCCTCCTTGTCCTCCTCCTCCTCCTCCTCCTCCTCCTCCTCCTCTTCTTCCTCTCTACCCCAGGAGGGGCGGCCGAAGCGGCCAGACACGAGGACCCCAGGGCCCCCCGAGCCCGCGGGGGAGGGGTTCTTACAAGCACCCCTGTTTCTTAGAAGGCGCCGGCCTTACATCTACAGACAAGGCCCGCGCCTTCTGAGCAGCAGGGGTGCTCCTGAGAAGCAGGGGTGCCCCTATGCGCTAGCCGACGGCCGCCGAAGTTCAACCTGCCTGCGCAGGTTCCTGACCCCTCCGCACGCAGAGATTGAGCTCGGGGCGGAAGCACCACATGACACGGGGGGGGGGCCCAGGCTGACCCCGAACTTGACCGCCATCGGGCCCCCTTCAGGAGCGCCGCCCTTGCCCTCGCCAGGCCAGCCCGTAGCCCCCGCCTCCGCCTTCGCCCGCTGCGCGTGGCTGAGAGACTTCCAGGGACCCCCGGAAGCCCGGGGCGATCTGGCAGAAACACCAAAACAGGAACCGGACCGAGCCGGAAACACAATGTGACGAACCGAACCGAACTGAGCCGAACCGGAAGGATTACGACACCGAACCGAACCGAAGCGAACTGGAGGCACTTCGGCACCTAACCGGACCGAACCGAACGGGAACTTTCCTGGCCTCTTCGTTTCCGTAGGTTCCGCCTATGGATTGCGGCCAGGGATGCGCAATGGGTTGATTCCCAGGGGCACCGATTTTCGGTGCAATCGGTCGTGCAATCGGTTGATTCCAAAGGGCGTGATTTTTGTTGCAGTGTTGGGGATGCTTTGCGTTGAACTTGAGGGAACTTGCGCTGCCTTGCAGTGCTTTGCAGGGTTTCGCACTGCTCCACATACAATTGACCAATTCATTGTTGAGATCTACGCTAGAAACATGCTTTGTGCTGCCAGCTTCCCGTCTTTCTCGGACACAGGAAGCTACACGAGAAAGCAATCGGGGCTGTCTGTGCGCCCCCAAGGCGACTCTCGGGTCGCCTCGGTCCACCCCCAGGCGCTCCAAGAGGCTTCCCAGAGCACCCCAACATGCACCCACGTCTCGCCCAGGACGCTCCAGACTGCCGCAAGAGGATCTAAGATGATGTGCACACGGAGGGGCAGACGAGCCCGCGAGGGATCCAAGAGAGCCCAACGAGTGTCTCGGGCGCAAGGATGTTTCCAAGAGAGCCCGAGAGAGCCCCCAGAAAGCCGCATGAGAATTCCAAACGCGCCCCAACAGGACTCCAAGAGGACTTCAACGACGTCGAGACGGTCCACACTAAAGGTCGCGAATGTAGGATTGCCCGCTACAGCACGCATGATCTTGCTTTAAACCTCTACGCCCTCATCAAGTCTTACTGCACACACGCACACGCACCCACGCGCACACACACGCACACGCACACTCGCATACACATATACATTTACACATACGCACATACGCACATATACACACATACACACGCCAACCGAACCGACCACGTGCACCCGAAACTGACCCATCAGCGCACACTCACGCTCCTGCGCATGTCCTGGCGGAGCGGGATACTCAGAGAAATAAAACAAATAAAAAATAGTCCCTCGATGCACTTGACGACTGTCCTCCCCCCGCCCAACATCGCGATTCGGAACGTTGGGGATAGTTCTGGCTCAGGGGGGGAACCATCGACCCGGAATCGGCGATGCATCGCCGATGTCCGCGAGAGGCCCCCGATAGCGAACCCGCACTCTCCCTCTCCTGGAAGCGGTGGGGCTATCGGGCCCCTATCGGCGATGAATGGGCGATTGGGGGCCGACGCGTTCCCCCTGAGCCCATCCCCCCTTGCGCTGCTGCACCCCTTTTTTCTGATCGTCACTCGGCTTTCCAGCGGCCGTTCCAGGCGATCTGGGCACCCCTGGAAAACTTTCGGCGACGCGCAGCCGCTGGAAGGCATCCCGCGGCTGGAAAGCCGAGAACCAACGAAAACGCCCGAAACCCTCGAACCTATCCCCTGAGCCCATGCCCCCCCCCCTCCTCCTTCTCCTCCTCCTCCTCCTCCTCCTCCTCGTCGTCCTCCTCCTCCTCCTCCTCCTCCTCCTCCTCCTCGTATTCCTCCTCCTCGTATTCCTCCTCCTCGTATTCCTCCTCCTCGTTTTCCTCCTCCTCCTCCTGCTCCTCGTTTTCCTCCTCCTCCTCCTCCTCCTCTCCTCCTCCTCCTCCGCCTCCTCCTCCGCCTCCCTCCTCCTCCTCCTCCTCCTCCTCCTCCTCCTCCTCCTCCTCCTCCTCCTCCTCCTCCTCCTCCCCCCTCCTCCTCCTCCCTCCTCCTCCTCCTCCTCCTCCTCCTCTCCTCCTCCTCCTCCTCCTCCTCCTCCCTCCTCCTCCTCCTCCTCCTCCTCCCCCCTCCTCCTCCTCCTCCTCCTCCTCCTCCTCCCTCCCTCCTCCTCCTCCTCCTCCCCTCCTCCTCCTCCTCCTCCTCCTCCTCCTCCCTCCTCCTCCTCCTCCTCCTCCTCCTCCTCCTCCTCCTCCTCCTCCTCCTCCTCCCTCCTCCTCCTCCTCCTCCTCCTCCTCCTCCTCCCCAACGTTGCTCCGGACGCACTCGGCCCACGTGGGGGGCCATGTGGCAAGACCCCGGCGCCCCTGGAGACCTCTCGGCGAGTGGCGCAGCTGCTGGAGTGCGGTGCCCGCGCTCCGCCAAGGCCTCGGCGACCACGCCCTGTCGACGGGCAAGCCAGGGGCCTCGTCATCCCCATCTGCCACCACCGCGCCGTGCTTTTGGGGGCGGGGGCGGGGGGGGGACTGACGGAGGGGAGAAGGGATGCAATGCGGAAGGGGAGATGAGGAAACAAACGAATTAGGGAGGAGAGGCTTCTCGACGCCCTTGCGGGCTTCTCCACCTTTCCACCTGTCTTTGCCAGTCTTGCTCCCAGGGCTCGACCTAAGCAGTGTTATTAGCTTTCGTGTTGTGTTCGTGTTTCCTCGGTGTGTCCTCGTTCCGCCCTTGCTGCAGAACGAAATCGAAACGAGCACGGTCCACGAATCCGGCAAGACACCGTTCAGGTTGAGCCCTGCTTGCTTCTGTCGTGCAAGCGCTGCTCGTATGAGCATTCTGCACTCGTGCGTCGGCGTCCCTCTCTCCTTCCGCTCGCGCCCGCGCGCAGGCGCGGCGGCGCTCGCAGGCCCGCGCTGGTGCAGCGCAGGAGAAGTCGTGGAGCGAGGGAGGACTCGGAGGACCCGGGGGACGCAGTGGTGGGGCAGGGGCAGAGGCGGGGGTCGACGACCAGCTCGCGACCAACGGCCCCGGCAAGGCAGAACTGCCAGTGCACGTCGGTCGGAAGAGGTAGGCCGAAACATGTGGTAGAAAGGCGGATCAAGCAGACTGGGTTTAGGCCCTCCCAGAGAAGAACAACACACACACACAACAAAATCATGCCGATGCTTGAAATAGGAAGGCGCTAGAAGTAGAATGGGATCCGTGAATCCAATGTGTGATGTTCCATCTAAGCAATGTGTGTATGTGCGTGTGGGGGCAGGATTTGATCCCCCCAGTCTCTGAGCATCGAATGATAAATTCGAACATCATCGGTCTGACTTCCGTTTCTGGCAAGATAATTGCGTACACAGTCTAGCACAAGCGGGAGGGACGGGTCTGCAGCGACGCTTCCCCGCCTCCGCAGCCACTTGCCCCAGAAGCCCCACAGAGGGGCCGTGCTAGCAGCACACCGCACACTGTACACCAGCGTCGAATTTAGGAACATATCAATGTGTGCAACGACCGGCATGTATCCAGCTGGGTATGCTCTTAGTGGGTCCCGGAAACGGCAAGGCCGTCTTTTTACCGTTTCCGAAAACATACCCCTTGAACATGGAAACAAACAACGGCGACCAACACCGGCAAACAAACGGCTCCAAGATTGGAGCTGGAGCCGGAACCGGCAAACAAACGGAGACGGAGCCGGCAACAAAGAAACTGCGACGGAACAGGCAACAAAAACTTCAAACCGGAACCGGTAAAGAAACGGCCATGTCGTTTCCATGGCCCATCAAGGTTTGAGCAGGGACCGACCGTCCCGGCATTCCTATAGTCCTACCACGAACAGTTTTAAGAACCCAAAACTGTTCCAAAAACAAATACAATGTTCTTAGAACATAAACCCAATGTGATAAAATAAGACAGCCCTGGTCAGAAATGTTCTAAGAACATTTCGTGGAAACCACAAAAGGTTCTTAGAACATTGTCGCCACTGCTTGAATGGTCGGGGGCGCGTAAACATGGATTAGCGATCCATGGATTTGGCGCGCGGTCGCCAAACCCATGGATCGGGGGAGGCGTCCTCCCCAGAATGCGGCCGGTGCCGCCTCGCTCGGCGGCGGAGATCCGCGATGTCCCATGGCGACGGGACCCCGTCGCTCATCCACGCCTGCTTGATCCATGCTTGCGATCGCCTGAGTGTATCCAGCTGGGCATGCTTCCCAACCCCACACCGGGACGGCCGTGTCGGCGTGTGTGAGGGGCTTGTCCGTTCCCGTCGTTCGTTCGTCGTCGTCTCCGTCGTCTCCTGTCCCTGCGCCTACCCTTTCCCTGACCCCTGCGACCCCCCCGAGAGCAGGGCCCGCCCCCTGGGGCCCGACCCCTGCGACCCCCCCGAGAGCAGGGCCCGCCCCCCGGACGCGCCGCGCGCGCGGGCGCCGCCGCGCCGCGGGCCCCGCCCGCCGCGGGCCGCCCCCCCCCCCCCTCCGCCGCAGGAGAGGGAACGCCTCGTCCTCCGTCCGTCGTCGTCGTCGTCGTCGCGTCGTCGTCGTCGTCGTCGTCGTCGTCGTCGTCGTCGTCGTGGTCGTGGTCGTCGTGGTCGTCGTGGTCGTCGTCATCGTCGTCGTCGTTGTCGTCCTCCTCCTCCTCGCGAAACCCCGCGAGAGGAGGGCCCCCCTCCCCTCTGGACCCAGACGGCGCTTGGTCGACGAGGCGCTTGCCTCTCCCCACCGGGGCGGGGGGAGGGCCGCGCGCCCGGCCTCGTGGGGCGTCGACGTGTACCCTACGGCCTGCGACGCGAGGGGGGGGGGGGGCGGTTGGCGTTGGAGAAGGACGAGGACGACGAGGGCGCGAGCGACGGAGAGCTCGATGAGGACGAGGAGGACGACGACGATGACGACGACGACGACGGCGACGACGGCGATAGCGACGGCGGCGGCGGCGAAGGGCACCGCCATCGCCGAAGTCTGCGAGCGGCGCGCAAGAGGGGGGCACGGAGGGGGAGGGGGGAAGGCCCCTGAGGAGGCTGCTTCCCAGAGGGCGCCTGCCCCACATCTGGCAGGCAAGGCCCGCGCCCTCGAGGAAGGCGGGGGTGCCTCTGAGAGAAGGCTTGCCCCCCCCCCCCCCGTACGCCCCCCCCCCATACCCCCTCTGCGCCTGGCCGATGGCGCCCGTCCGCCCGGAGGCGGACGGCATCGAACCAGGCGGCGGTGGCTGAGGTGGCCGGCGGATGAGCGGCTGGCGTTGGGACGAGCTGGCTGCCCTTGTCGGGGGGGCGACGGGGACGGGGGCGCCATCTCCGCCGTCGCGCTCGAGGGCAGGATCGATCAAGATCGAGTCGGGAGCTCGGATCGGATCGGCCTGTGCGTCGGCTCGGGCCGCATCGGCACGGAGTCCAGATCCTATCGGATCGGCTGCGCCATGATGCACAACAACGCCGTGCAAGCACTCGGATCGTCGGGACGTCGGAATCGGGATCGGATCGGATCGTCGCGACATCGAACTCGATATCGAAGCGGATCGATCGAACCGAAATGGACCCCGCAAATATCGGGGAGACGTAAGACCCGGGTACGGGGGACTCGGAAATCCCCGACGAGGTCGTCAAAAAAATGACGAGGCCGAGCCTGCATTTTGACGAGGCCTCCCGCTGCAGACATCCCACGAAACTCCTCCTCGTCAAAATCCGAGGCGCGGTCGTCAAAAAACGATGGCGAACCCGAGTCCTGGCAAACCCGGGTCTTACGCTCCCCCGAAAATAGGGAGGGGGGGTGTCTTGGGCTCTGGTTGGGCGACTCGGTAGAGCCCTCCCGGCCCTGACGGGGCAGGCCGGCGGAGCGCGCAGCGGGACGGTGGTCGGCCGACCGATGCCACCACGCATGGCGGCGGGGCGTAAAGAACCAGGAGACGCGGCGAACGGAAGGAGCCCAACGTCGGGGATGGACAGAACCCCCTTTAGTAAAACGTGGTTTAGTGAAAACGACCTGAGGCCCAAACTTGGCGGGCGCAAGCCTGGAAAATAACGGCCACGGCGCCCACTCGAAAACCGAAAACGGACAATTCACTAATCGACGTGTCACTATTGGGGGTTCTGTCCACCCCCGACCAACGATCCGATAGAGAGAGGCGGGGGGAAGGGAGGAGGGGCGGAGGCGGGAGAAGAGGGGGGGGAGGCATATGACAACTGGAGGAGGTAGAGAGGAAGTGAGGCCCGCGCTGCAGCGGGAACGCCATTTTGCAACACCGAAAACAATCGGATTTGAAAAACGCCATCAAAAAACGCACGGCTGCCCTATCCTGTGCAGAAAACACCCGGAGAGAGAACCAGCCATCCTCCGAACGGGGTCAAGGGAAAGAGGAGAGTGCTAGTATTAATGATGTGTAGTTGTACCTGCTAGGTGCGCTCGTGCCATATCTGTCATTCTACCCCTCCCGCCCCTCCTCCATTCCTTCTCTATCCTTCCGTCCCTCCTATATATTTTTTCCCTTTCTCCTCGCTCATTGCTCCCCTCCCTCCTCCCTCCTCCCTCCTGCGTCTTCCAGCCTCCCTCCTGTCTCACCCATCATCCGCCCTCGCTCGTCTCCTTCTCCCCAACTCCCCCTCTCCGATTGCACCTGACACGACGGGGTAGCCTGGAAGGTTCCAGGCCCGCTACAGTGCGGGCGCGGCCGCAAGAAACCCTCGCAAGAAACCCAACCCTGAGAACCCGTGCGCGAGGTAGACCTGAGGGGAAACCCGGAGCACCCTGAACGCAGCAGGCTCCTTCAACGGCTGCGGTAAGTCGCCGCGCAGCGCGAGGAGCGAAGAAACCCAGGATACCCTGGCGAAAAGCAACCTATACGACCACCCTTCAGGTGATAAGGAGGTTCGGGGGGGGGAGGAACCAACGTCTCACTCGGTCGGTCTCACTATCGATCTCACTATCGATCTCGCTCGACCTATCTCACTCGATCGATCTCACAATCGATCTCACTCGATCTACTTCATTCGATCCATCTCACAATCGATCTGACCATCGATCTCACAATCGATCTCACAATCCATATTGCAATCGATCTCACAATCCATATCACAATCGATCTCACAATCAACGTCGTCATCATGATCATCATCATCATCATCATCATCATCATCATCATCATCATCATCATCATCATCATCAACACCATCGTCATCAACGTCATCAACATCATCGTCATCATCATGATCATGATCATCATCAACATCATCATCATCATCATCATCATCATCATCATCATCATCATCATCATCATCATCATCATCATCATCATCATCATCATCATCATCATCATCATCATCATCATCATCATCATCATCATCGGGACACCATCATCACCATCGGGACACCATCATCATCATCACCACCTCATCACCTCATCACCATCATCATCGTCGTCATCATCACCACCACCACCATCATCATCATCATCGGGACACCATCATTGTCACCATCATCCGTGTGCTGCATGGTCTACTGTCTCTGACTTGACTCTGTTACGCTTCATACTCTTCCCAGCGCTTCTGTCGGGGAGACGTAAGACCCGGGTACGGGGGACTCGGAAATCCCCGACGAGGTCGTCAAAAAAATGACGAGGCCGAGCCTGCATTTTGACGAGGCCTCCCGCTGCAGACATCCCACGAAACTCCTCCTCGTCAAAATCCGAGTCGCGGTCGTCAAAAAACGATGGCGAACCCGAGTCCCGGCAAACCCGGGTCTTACGCTCCCCCGATTCTGGTAGGACGCATTCGAGACGCACCAGGGCCTGGATGGGCGAGAGCGGGCTCGAGGAACGCCCGACTCCAGCTCGTCCCGAGTCCACTGCACAGGACACTGCGACAGCTGTATGGGGCCAGCAGTCTGGGGACGGTGCACAGCCTGACTCCATACAGCGGGATACTACGGCATCTTGGTGAGGCCCAGCGTCTGGGGACATGATGCGCTCGCTTGGGTTTGAGGCCAGATTACTTCTTCCGTAGCCAATTTGGCTTGGGCACGCTCGCTCAACCCAGGCCGGCGCGGCTCTTCTACCTTATGATGTTCATGGAGTTTCGCTGAGGAACTGTCATGTAACAAAATAGCCATATCACTCAATCAACTCTCGATGATTCCGTCGCCCGTACAACACACAAACACACAAACACACACACATATAAACACACAATCACAACCACACGCACGAACGCGCATACTCGCAACCACACACAAACACACAAACACACACGCACACGCACAAACACACACACGCAAGCACATATCATGACCCACAGGCTCCCAGGCCCAACACAAAGCGTGACAAATGGCGCGTCCCAGGAGAAGGCCTGCATTGCAGCTGCAAAAGAGTCCCACTCATGCCACGGCGAGCCCAAAAAACACTGTCAACTGAGCAACATTGACTGCACCGTCTCGGAGGTGCAGCCCAGCGCCTCCTGACAGCACGTGCGAGCCTTTCGTCCTTGACCGTTCGGAGGGCATGTCGTCGGCCGACTCTGATCCCACAAGCCTCCTTGGCGCCGGTGGTTTAGATCGATAGTTCTCCAACCCTCTTCTTTTCCTTCGGGGGCGGGTTCGCCTTGCACCCTCTCTCCTCTCCTGGGTCTGGTAGGGGGTGGGACGACCGATAGCAGCGTCCAAGATGTCCGAGGATGGCCTCAAGCGAGTCTCAGATAGCCCAAGACGGCCTCCAAGATGGCACAATTATGGCTTCCAACATGCCTCCAAGAGGCCCCGACATGGCTGCAAGTAGCCACGGATCCTCGCAATGACGCCCCCGAGAGGCCCAAATGTTTTAACCACTGATTTTCACGCTTGTTTTGTATGGCTCAATGATCGTGCAATAGAACCCAAATAGGAGACCAAAGAGGACTTTTAGACTATGCCCAATACCAAAAAGCTCCCTCCCCCCACCTAAACATCGTCCACCTCTCCGCCGCCCACACCTTCTCATTCCTCTACCTCAACCTCCGCCTGGTGTTCGTCCTCGTGCTCATCCCGATTCTGATGAGTTATCCTAGCCACGGACCCCATCGGCTGGGACCCTGAAATAAGACTACTTCGTTTGCAGAGTTTCACCCCTGTTCATTTGAGGACGTCCACTGACCACGAGGGGACAATGCGCCGCCTGGCGGACAGCAAGGCCGCCAGAAGCATATCATAATTGGAAATGGCCGGGAGGTGAGCTGGTTGGCCCCCGAGAGAATCGGTCAAGAGGGGGGATGCAAGCAGAACCGTTCAAAGTCTGTCTCTGGACCCCTCCCAAGGCCCATCTGACTACCTACCAGACCACCCCAACCCAACCCGAAGACCCGAATTTCGGGTGGGTGGGGGGTAAGGGTTCCACATGTCTTTTTTCGATGTTTCCCGACACCCCCCCCCACTGGAAATCGAGGGTAAATCTGAGCCTTCGGGTTGGGTTGGGGTGGTTTGGTGGGTGGTGATTTTCACGGAGGCCCCCGAGCCCTGAGGCCACCGTGAAAAAGGCCCTGGGAGTTTCGATGAAGCGCGATTCGTGTCCGGCGTCCGTGGAATGGTTCTGGTGGGTGCAATACGAATCGACGGTGCAATCTAGGGCTCCCAACTTCGCGCTTCGCGCTCCGCGAAGCGCGAAGCGCGAATAACTTCGCGCTCTCGCGCCGCCCCCCCAAAGGGAGAAAAGGAGGACGAGGAGGAGGGGGAGAAGGAACGAGGACCGCGAAGCGCGAATAACTTCGCGCCCTCGAGGGAGCCCTTGTGCAATAGTCCCGGTTTCGAAGTCCCTGGGATCCGTTCTG